TGTGTATGCAGCTTGTGTGGTAACTTTCTCCGCTCTTGTTTGGCTGACATTGATTGCTGCCTTCTTGTTCCTCCTTTCTTCAATTTTCGCAAGAGTATCAACAGAGATCCATTGTACGACTTTCGTGGCATTACGTTAGATTCAACGGAATAACGCACCCGAAGTCGATAAAGTTAAAAGCTCTTTGAGTGTTCGGAATATTTATTTGGAACAGTTAAATAAATATCGTATGTGGTTCTGCAACAAACAATTGTTAATTTACTAGTTACTTACATTCAAGGTGATTAAGCAACAACAACAAATTATCACAACGATCCGTGTCTCACACACAAAGCGAATAGAATGCCAAACAAAATGGCTGACCAAACAGTCAATGTTTCGACCAATAGAAAACAACTTCTAGATTGTTCGATCATACTGACCAATAAAATGCAAGTTACAAATTATATAATAAACACTCAACTACTTATGAGTAGTACAACAATTACAACTAAATCCAACACTGCCCCATGAGGTTGAAGAATCACGGGATGTTTCTAATTGTTCAGGGTTCTGTGATTCTTCAAGTTCACCTTCCAACTTGCATAACTGCCGTACGTCTCTTCCCGCTATCCCGTTAGCTGTTCTTAACGTCACCTTCCGAACTGAGCCGTCGGTACCCTCCTGCATATCTGTGACGACCGCCTTCGGCCATTTCCCTCTCGATCGTGCACATTCTATCATCAATACTAAGTCCCCAACCTTCAATTTAGGCTTAGGATCGTGCCATCGCTGCGTTTATTGTAGCGTTGGGATATATAGCTTCAACCACCTTTTCCAAAAAAGATCAACCAAGCACAATGTTTGTCGCCATCTTCTATTGTATTTTAGTTTATAGTCCTTTTCATCGATGCTAGCTGGTTCGCTTGCTCTACGCAATAGTAACATGCTAGGTGGAAGCGCTTGTATTCCATCGACATCTTCTACCATCCTCACTATAGGACGGTTGTTTAAAATCCTCTCTATCTCCACTAGGGTCGTATGTAATACCTCATCGGTGACCGGTTGTTCGTCGAGAACAACTACCAATATTCTTTTAATAGTTTTGATGATCCGCTCCCATATTCCTCCTCGATGATAAGCCTTTGGAGGGTCAAATATCCAATCACAATTGTGAGCGGCAAGGTTTTTCGATATTTTTCTTGGTTCCAAGCTCTCATTAAACACTTTATCGCCCTTTCTGCACCTTTAAAGTTGCTGCCGTTGTCACTATACAGGCGTTGTGGGTAGCCCCTACGTGCCGCAAATCGGCTAAAGACACATAGGAAAGAATCGGTGTCTAGGGTATTAGATAATTCTAGATGAACCGCTCTTGAGCTGAAGCAAGTTAACAAGCAGCCGTATCTCTTTTCCACGGTCCGTCCACGTTTCACAAATAGTGGTCCAAAATAATCGACACCTGCCACAGTAAATGGATTACAGTGGTACATGAAACGATCCTCTGGTAGGGGTGCCATAGCCTGTTGGCAATGTTGAGAGAACGACTTACGACACTTATAGCAATTGTTGAGAACTGACTTGATGGTTTTCACTGCTTTAATGATCCAATATCTTTCACGGATTGTCGAAATCAGAAAGTTTACTCCCATATGTCCATTCGTTTCATGATAATGTCTAATAATTAAACGGGTAATAAAATGATTATGCGGTAGTATAATCGGATGCCTTACTTCAAAGGGTAGACGTGATTGTTGTAAGCGCCCACCAACTCTTATTACTCCGTTAACCGTAATTGGTTTCAAATGACGTAGTGGGCTTGAAGACTTGCATAATGCTACTTTAATTGTTCGGTCGGCCTCCTTCTCACTCGTCACCACCGAGACGTGATTCAACAACTTAAATACATCATTGAAACATTCCTTCTGCGCCAATCGGGTAATGTTGAGCTCAGCCGAACTTAACTCTGCGACTGTGAGGTTTTGTTGGTTAGTTAATTTGTTCGTCAAGAGATGTTTATAACGTAGAAGCCAAGCTATCATTCGTTGTAATTTCATCCATGAATTCACAGCTTCGAATCGATTCAGAAACGTAGGTTGATTCTCGATTGGATATAAATCTTTATTTGACAACATATAGTTTACATATGAGCATGCATTAGTGTGCTGGTGTGGTTCCTGCTGGACATATCCCTGCAATAAAAATGTTGGACCACTAAGCCATCGTTTTAATTTTCGTTCTTGGTTTACCATGAACCCTCGGGAAAGCAGATCCACTGGGTTGAGCTTAGAACTAACGTAACACCAGTCTGATGGCCTCGTCTGTTCATGTATATAAACCAACCTGTTAGCAAAAAACGTAGGGAATCTCTTGGAAGCATTGTTTATGCTATGGAGTACGACGAGAGAGTCAGTCCAATAAATCGTTTTGAGTATGGTAACAGTCATCTCTGTTCGTATAAACTTGGGGATTTTCATAGACATAACTGCTGCCGCCAATTCTAAACGTGGTATAATTGTAGCCCTAATAAGTGCTACTTTAGCTTTGGCGAATATCGGTCGACATTCTTTAATACTTTGCTGTTTCAGTAGTAGCAAATACCCTGCTGCTCCGTATCCATTATTAGAGGCATCGCTGAACATGTGTAGTTCGATTCCAGTACATTCGGCTGCATTTAATGACCGAGGCAAAGCTATCTTTTCTATATGAGTGAGACTTCCTTGCCATTTTCTCCAAACCTTTAATTCTTTTCCTACTATTAAATCATCCCAAGAAAATTTCATTTTGCATAGTTTCTGAAGGATAAGTTTCGCTGGGAGAATAACAGGTGCTAGGTAACCCATGGGATCGAATATGGAGGCGACAAATGACAATATATTACGACGTGTAACAGGTTCATTGACCATCCCGACATAAAAACGAAAGGTATCATCGCGTATATTCCAACTTATGCCCAAAGCTCGACAAGTGGTATGATCGCCGTGCCCGATGTGTACACATGGCCCGATACAATTAAACTCAGGTAGCAGCTGAGCTAACCTTGAATCATTAGTAATCCACTTAGTCAAGTTGAATCCACCTTTTGATAACATATCTTTCAACTGAGTTGCTACTCGATAACTTGTTTCAGTATTGGGAGTGCTAGTTAAACAATGGTCTACGTAGAAACTACGTGTAGCCATGTCGTAAACTTCCTTGTCATAGTTTTCCTTGTTATCTTTGATGGTACGATTAAGAGCAAACGTGGCACTAACGTACAAACCAAATTAGGTACATCTTAGTAAAAAACATGGACTACACCTAGCTACTAGCACAGTACTTAAGAATTTTCAAGATCAACAGTTGAGGTCGAAAAACTAACCAATGAGACTGCCATAATTGACCAATAAATTTGGTTACTTATGCTTTCATTGATATGAGATATGCTGATTTCCTTGTTTGCAAAACAAAACTTCAATCTTTGCTTCAATAGAATTTCGCGAAAGCGATCCATCTTTATATAAGTATGAAGTAATATTACATTTCAAATGCATCAACCGACTCTTTAGATGATGGAAACACAATAGAATGCATTGATTTAGTAATGTCTAACGACAGCAGGGAATCAAGGGTAGAAAAACTATTGAACATATATACTGAATTTCAACAGTAAAAACTCACGTTTCATTGTATGAAAGAATAATTGCACATACTTAAAGATAACTTGCCTATTTTACCAAAGTAAAATAACTTATGTACCATTAAATCAAAACAATGTTGACTTACCATTTACATGTACTCCAAAATCGATTTTGCATACATCATCGTAATTTAGAACGGTATTGTCAGCCCTTGTTTGGAGTGTAATTAACTGCACAATTATTAAGTGGACAAGCTGTTGGAAAAGCTAAACCCGCGTCTAGTCCACGTTCTAAAATGAGTGCACGGCTAGTGCGTTCAAGTTCTTCACACATGTCAATGAGACGAACACCGGGACGAATCCACTTTTTAATATAATTTCTTGTTTGCCTGTGAACCTCTGCACCTTCACGAAATTGTTGATAGATCTCTTCATGAGCACTGTCACGGGCTTTGCATTCTTCTGACGTTGTGCGGTTGATAGCTGTACGACTACAAGAAAGGAATGTACTAATTAGCTTCAATCTGTGTACAAAATCTAACCACGGAATATTATTAAATCTATGGGTAAATTTACCGAATAAGACAACGGGCCACATACCTACGTAGTGTGACACTTCTAAGAAGAAAACACATTTGATGAAAAGGAAACATTTATTATTATACTCTTTTTGTTCAAATGTACTAAAAACCTTCACTTACGCGCAACTTCTTCTTTTGAGTTGATGTCATCATTCATAATTTGCTGCTCGTTGTGTCGCCCACTTTCTCCTTCAGATGTATCCTTTACCCTGGATTTACTTAATAATTAGTATTTAGTGGTGGTCATAGTCAATCTCGACACGGTCACTACTAAACCTACACGCAGTTTGTCGACATTTCAATGAAAGATTAACCCAGATGAGTACATACATCATAGTCTTTAGAGATTTTACCAACCCATTCACAATCCTTGCTTAATACCCTATGCTTAACGGCAGTATTGCTCAATTACCGAGGACTTCTCAACCTCGGTTGAGAAGAATCCCAAGACAAATAAAGTGGTCAGTTCGCTCAATTACTTCAGCTCCCACAATCAGTTTATTGTCTACGATTGACCGATCAAAAACATAAACCACGAGGCATATACTAGAAACGGTTTACACATTCGAATAAGCCAACCTGTCTAAGCTGTTAAATGGTTTATAGAATGACTAGACAATCACGTTCGTGTAAAGATTAGTACTTCTATATGCTTAAGAATGCTGAATACATACAGAAAGTATACACAGATTTGTTATAAGTTTGCAGACAAAACATAAATAAACATAGGAATGACGATGAACTAATGATAAACTAACCAATCAGTGTTTGGTTCATAATCAATAATTTCACCAACTGGGTAGTCTCCAAGGGGATACAATTGACAAATAGGGATAGAAGGAGGGTCTGTCTGACGTGTGACATTTGGAGATTGAGATTTAGATGTCTTGCTTGACGATTTATTGGAAGAAGGGGCGATTTCACCACAGTCAATTGAATTGTCTCCTGTCTCATTTTCTGTGACCTCAACCTCATCGTGACCATCTTCAAGAGATCTAATTAGCAGAATGCCTTACATACTTGTGCATTTTCCAGACTTCTTTTTCTGTTTCTTTGTCTTTTTCGTCGCTGGTTTTACCGACGAATCCTCATTCGATTCTGCTACCACGTTCATTTTCTCACATACTTCTTCTAGATCTTTTTCTGATTGTTTATCTGGTTCTGAAGTGCACTGCTCCATCACTTGTCCGCTGGCTGTACCAAATCAACAGAAATATATAAACCAAAGTCCTTCTTTTATTTATCAAAACAAACCAATACTACATCAAAACCCTATTCAGAAAGATGTAGAGCACTGGAGTTGCTACTTTGATTAGTCTTACGTGAAATCCACTAAGTACACACAAATCTGATTAAATTAGTTATGACGGAGGAAGAGATTGTCAGAATCCGTGAAAAGAGGACACACTAGAAAAACTGAGAGAAAATATACAGAGCTTCTCTCAAATTCTCCGGTGCAACATCAAACACATAAGACGTTTTGTCCGGACTCGTGAAAGCATTACAGTGACCACCATGACTGCTTATGTACTTCGCATATGTATTCTCTGTTAGGAAGGATTCCGTACCAAGAAACAACATATGCTCACAAAAGTGTGCGAGACCAGGTAGTTCCTCAGGGTCCGACAACGAACCTAGGATTAGACCACTAGACAAACCATAATCGACATACCAATGTTCACAGACAGACAGACTGCAGATTTGTCTCTTTCCAGGTCACTTATAAGAAGCATTTTTATTCTGTTGCATAAAATCACCACTTTATACTCCGTCAAGTCATTCACAGACATTCACACCACTTGAGATGAAGAATCCACTGAATTCGAACTATTCATCATCAGCCTTTAATTCAAGTAATAGGTTGCACAGTATGTATACGTATACGGTAAAAAGATAGTCCGATATCCTCAACTAGAAAAAAAAGGGAGGTGAACAAAGATATTTCAAGACACTTCGCCATTCCACAGCAGACTGAGATAAAATAAACAAATATTATACGAAATGGATAAGGTAGGTTGTATTCCAAGTTGACCGATTTTCGCAAAATCAACTTCTGCAATCAAAACAAATCTAATTCAGGACGTTGTACGATGGCAAACCATAGAAACTTTGCAACATCAATTACGCTTATAGTTTTGGAAATTACATAATGAACAAGTAAAACGTACTGGAATGGATGTACTACAACAACTGAAACAACAATCCGAATGTGTAGGACGGATCGTGAACAGTGTGCAATTTGTAAGCATGCGAAATGTACTCTGAAATTATTATCTTCTGAATTTACTATTATCGTCATTATATAATACAGAGGTTTCAAGTAACTCAAACATTCGATAGACAGACTGTTGACAACGAAACCTGTATATGCTTAAGAATGCTTAAGAATGAATCCATGGACTCAATCTAGTGGAGGTGACAAACGTAAATACAACCATCATGGTCAGCCTATTTCGCCACATCAGATGTTACGAATACCATGTTAAAGGTACACGACTGCGTCTATTTTAACGTGTCGTAGGAAGTTGACAAACTACATGATGTAGAGCACTGGAGTTGCTACTTTGATTAGTCTTACGCGAAATCCACTAAGTACACACAAACCTGATTAAATTAGTTATAACGGAGGAAGAGATTGTCAGAATGAAAATATTTTTGGAGTCACTGGTTAGCACTGAATAACATCTATGGGTTGACTTAGTAATGAACTGATTAGCTAAACACATTTACAGAAATATTTCAATCAATCAATCAATGAACAGATACCTAGAACTTCGTACGTACGTACGTATGTACATCAGTTCAAGTTACCATGCCACATAAGCTAGCACAGAGATGCGATTGTCAATTCAATTACCATAGTAGTAGAGGTAGTAAAAGTATTAGCACTAATCGGAGAGATTAGGTTTCGAATATATTATTCAAGAAGTAGAATCTAGTGAAATAAACTTAAAAAGAAAAAAATAAGGATGACGGGAATTGAGTAGGTTGGGACTTGAGAGAACACAAACAATGAATGCACCTGTGACATTACAAAATTGTTTGCAAATGGTTTACAACCATTAAGCTTTTAAAATTAGAAACTACCAGGTTTCGATGTATAGATAAATACTGAGATGCTGCAAACAACTATTATATGAAATGAATAAGCTACGTTGTATTCCAAGTTGACCGATTTTCGCAAAATCAACTTCTGCAATCAAAACAAATCTAATTCAGGACGTTGTACGATGGCAAACCATAGAAACTTTGCAACAGATAAACATTCAGCAGATTGATATTTAATACACAGAAACAACAGCAATTACGCTTACAGTTTTGAAAATTACATAATGAACAAGTAAAACGTACTGGAATGGATGTACTACAACAACTGAAACAACAATCCGAATGTGTAGGACGGATCGTGAACAGTGTGCAATTTGTAAGCATGCGAAATGTACTCTGAAATTATTATCTTCTGAATTTACTATTATCGTCATTATATAATACAGAGGTTTCAAGTAACTCAAACATTCGATAGACAGACTGTTGACAACGAAACCTGTATATGCTTAAGAATGCTTAAGAATGAATCCATGGACTCAATCTAGTGGAGGTGACAAACGTAAATACAACCATCATGGTCAGCCTATTTCGCCACATCAGATGTTACGAATACCATGTTAAAGGTACACGACTGCGTCTATTTTAACGTGCCGTAGGAAGTTGACATTGTATTTGTGAATATAACATTTTCGTTACTCTTCCACGTTGATGCTGATCTTATTAGCACTACTGAGCACTACTCTCACCGAAGGAGCATATTTCGCAGTCACACATTAACATATCTGTAGGCTGTTGTGAAAGTTTTTAATAATCACTCTCAGTATAGTTCACATCGTAGCATCAGGCGTTTTCTAAATAGATCGTTAAATAACCGTACATACAACTTCTGTTTTACTATTTGGCATCCTCATTATAAACGTTTTGTGAAATCGTCTTATCGTTAACTGTATACATGCGATGTTTTCAGGTTCGAAACAATTTTTCCTTAGACATTTAGCTAAAAATGACCAATAAAAGCGTTTGGGAGAAGGAAATCTTTCAAAGTGTACCTGCCAATATTGATTTATTGAGTAAACAATGGAAAAACTGGTGCAAAAGATCAAACTTGATTAGGATAATTACGATTCACTTTTCTCACATTCTTCCCCTGGCTTTCATATATTTAAGATACACCCTGTAGTAATACATCATAGCAAATCCAGAACATTAAACAACTTGCTATTCCGATAGGAATTCAAGTACCATAAAGTTGGAAATCGACGAGATTATATTGCGGACGATTTACACAAACCGTACCAACTTCGATTAACCTCGAAAAATCGGCAGAAAAATCCAAACAACCTATGTCGTATGTTATCGTGTAGGTCCAATATCCAATACCTTTTTCACGAGATAGTGTTAACCAATTTGATTTCTTCGCGCTCGATTCCAATATCCAATATCTTGTTCTTTCGGTACGGTTTCAGGTGTTTGGTAATGTCCAATGGATGGAGGTCTAATTCTATTCAGTTGGCAGTTGGTTGTGAGTTTGTATATCTCGGGATTTGAATGAAACGTTTGTTTCAGGGCAGTAGGGTTTCTGTATACTAGCAGCCGTCACATTACCGAACCGGAGATCAGTTAGTTGCAGTGTGGAAAGTAACAAGGATAATAAGGATAAAATTCCAATGATAATATGAATAAAATTTCAGAACTGAGTAATATATAGATGAATTTAGTTTGTTAATTGGTAGTGAAGATTGTGAGAGAGGACCGAAGTCTTAGCAAGCTAGAAGAAACAGAGATAATAGACGAGATGGAATAATTGAGTGATCTGAAGAGATGGCAATGATAACAACTAGCAGGTCTCATGATATGTATCAGGCACAGCTTGTCCATGAGGGAGATGACAATCCGTTTGTGAGTACGTGATTATCAAGTCTCTCTTCTTAAAACTGTCCACTGAGGGGGATGTGGTCACCTCGTCTGGGAGAGTATTCCAAGTTTCAACGACTCGCAATGAGTAAAAGTGTGCACGAACTTGAGTATTAACTCTGTGATGCGCAGTTTTTCGAAGGTCAGTGAAGCCCATTTCCACAACCCTTTCGATTAGGCGTGCGTGGGGCACTGTCAAAGGCTTTTGCGAAGTCGAGAAATACTACGTGCACTGGTATTTTACGGTCCAAGCAGGATTTCCAACTGTCCCATGTGATGAGAAGATTAGATGAACACAACCTGCCTTTCCGAAACCCGTGTTGAGCTTCATGGAGTATTTTATTCTTATCCATCTACTTTCTCATTTGTTCGTCCACTAGTCCTTCCATAACCTTTGATAGTATAGGTAGTAGTGCGATTGGTCTTTAACAGGCTGGGTCCTTTCTATCTCCTTCTTTGAAGATTGGAGAGAGAGTAGCTTGTTTCCATTCAGCTGGGAATTGGTGTGACTCCAGTGAATGCCTGAACAGGTTGCATAACGGAGAACAGAAGGCTTCAGCACACTGTTGCAAGACTATAGGGCGGATTTTGTCACAACCTAGTGACTTACTCGGGCGTAAGGATTTCAGTTTCCTTAATACTATGTCAGGAGTGATACGGATGTTCCCTAAGCCGTCAGCTGGCATTGGGTTGGCGTAATACTCTGAACATGTAGGCGCCTGGTTTAATTGATCAGCAAAGGTGGTGTTGAAGATCTCGGCCATCTCTAGTTTGGTGAGGTCTTCCCCGTTTGGCCCTTTTAGAGAACACAACCCTTGATTAGTAGGTTTTCTTTTGGACATGAACCTAAACAGATGTTTCGGGTTTGCCTCTATTCTGGCGGCTAGCTTCGTATGCAATTGTCTCCTGTCGCTTCGAACTTTGGTATTGCATCTGTTTCTCAATGCCAAGTAAGAACTGAGATCGGAATCTTTCGAGGAGACCTTCCACTTGTGCCAGGCTTTCCTCTTCGCCTGTAGCAAGCGTTCAGTGCCGCGCCTAACCCGGGTTCTTCTGTTCTCGCGGTTTGGATGTGACTGAGGTACGTTGTCTATGACAGCGTTTTGGATGATATTTCTCACTGCTTGCCAGTGATCATCTACTGTCAGCCTCCACCACTCCCGTGGCCACGGGGCATGTAGGAGCACCTCTCTCATGCGTGTGTAGTTTGCTATACTGTAGCAAAGATAAGGCTCGTTATCGTCCGGTGTCAGCGTTTCGTTTGTGACCATGTTAAGCAGGACTATGCCATGGTCACTACTACCTATTGGATCGCGGTTGTGAACATCCTCAACCAGGAGCTGGTCATTCGTTAACAGATAATCTAGGTTTGAGGACTTCCCTTCCTTAGTCCACCTAGTGGCACTGCGTACGTGCTCAGTCAGCCCACAGCTTCTAATGGCTGCACCAAGTTGTCTTTGGAACCAACCAGTGGGAGTTATACTCTGATTGCTGAGATTTAGAGATGGGGTATTGAAATCTACGGCTAAGAGTATTTGATCAAACCCTAGGAGTGGCAGTTGCAGTATTACCTCGATCAGTTTGCTTTTCTGGGCCTTAGTACCCGATAGAGGTCGGTCTAGATGAATTTTCTACCGTAGCAGTTCAATTTGTTTTCAGTAGGTGTAAGTCGAACGCACCCCTCTGCTAGTCCAATATCAGAACACAATAATTCTAGATGAAAGTGGTCTATTTATATAAAAAAATGGAAATACAAACAGTCACCTGACAGTTAATACACCTTCCAAGTCCAAATTACCCTGATGGGTTTCCGAATCCAAAAGAATAAGTGATACTAGTATTAACTGACACGGTATCAAATCCATATATGGCTGTAGCCATATTAAATATCAAATTAAAACAACATATGTACAGTTCAGAAGCAAACATAAAAACTTCAATATAAGTACGAAATATGGAAATAATAACAATATACAATGATAAAATCTCAAAATGGAATCAAATAGAGTACCAAAATGTCAACAGAAAGAGTCAGTCATATCATAACACAAATATATATATATACATGGAGGGATTTTCCAAAAAACAAAACATTCAAAAAAGATTCTACACCGGCCCGCAAAATCCCTCAATGCAAAAAGCAAGCGCTTTCTGACACTTCAATTTAGGTTTCACTCTCATCCCCTAATCCACACCGGAAGAACGAGTTGGACATACAGCAGTACGCCTACCCGCCCTCCAACATGGATATGACCTATCAAGCTAACTAGGTACCTGTACCTTCCCATCAGGCCCTTGATTCCCCTATCTATCGTAGCATGACCTAACGGTAGTATAAACCTTACCCAATTAACCCACACGAACATGTACAACACGTCGTAAAACTGGTCATATCCTATCCGGGAACTACATTCCCTATCATGGGGACGAGTCGCCAATCCACCACCACTTGCTCCGATCAGCAGATACAATGAAGTCCATGATGCTGACTTACCAACAGAAATTCTTGACCCATATATAATATGCAAGGGTGGGATCTCCAATTTTGACATTTCATGGTCTCCAGAAGACTTTAAGTAGCATAACATGGGATCAATATTTATCTCTCCATCTCCTGATACAGAGGAGGTTTGATCAGCATTCGTCATCGTCGACAACTCATTTGTCACATCAGTGACATCCAGATTATTATCAACGTCATCATGATTCCGTTCTGTCAGACAAATCGCGTCGATTCGGTCTGCACTAGCATCCGTAGAGTGGAACTCTTCCATTGTGGTATAACTCATCTCTCTACATGAAAGAACAGCATAAGCGTCACAATCCAAAACCGATAAACTCACTTGTTGTTCTTCATGTTCCGTTTCAGAGACACAAGACATATGCACATCAATAGCATCGTTATCATGCAACACTAGAGTGACTGTTACCATCAGACGCTTCCTTCTCATCATCACTTGACTGACAGCCGACCGACGTAGGAACACTTACAGTTACACAACCTTGTGTATCCACAAACTACTTAACATTCGCGGGAGGCCCCGATGACGTCAAAACATTAGAAGGCTCGTTCGATGAAGTTGATCGACTAGTCACTATAAGTGGACTGCTCACACTTTCTGTCTCTTTACTATCGCTGTCACTACTAAGATTCTGATGACTACTATTTCCATTGCTAGTCATAGCATCCGAAAGATATTGATGTTTAGGCTTCTTAATAATAGTAGCATCATGTTGTTTCCTATGCTTCTTAGCTTCAGTTGCAGTATGTGAGCGTAACGTACGATCATTGCGACGACGATGAGTGTCTTTCAAATTCCATCGATCACTATTACTCGCAGGAGTATCATCAATGCTATTATCATTAGTAGCCGCATCTGTACAAGCAGTAGTAAACTTCTCATGACATCCAGTCGACTCATGCACAATGGCTAACTCTACTCGATCAACATTTCTTTCCTTACGAGTAATGCTCTTAGCCTCGTCTATCTTATCACTGTTGGTATTGCTCATTCCGAAGCTTGTAGAACAAGTCAATGATGGTGGAGTGCGACAGGTGGACAATTGCGTGCTCGATTCCGCATGCTGCATATTATTAATAATTTATTCTCAAATAACTAAGTTACAAAAGTCACGCCAGTTTACAGGCTAGATCAAATTGTCACAAATGCTTTCACAATTACTGTAAAAGTTATAGCAGTTAAATTAAGTATAAGAGACAGTTTCTGATTGCATATTTACACCATATCACTGACAGAAACAGTATTATACAGCCACATTTTCAATATTAGAGTACAAATGAGGAAGGTGCACAATAGGTTCTTTTGGCGATTTGCCGAGATCAATAGTGAATTTGTTGGGAAAGGTCATATGGAACTCGCTTGATACGAGCTGTGATCCAGACAGTCATGTATATTGGGTGCATGTTCCCTAGAGTCGCCAAGGATTTCCCACCGTGAATGGGGTTCTGAAAGGTAGAAGAGAGAGAGAAAAAGGCAGCAGTGTGGCAAGTGTATATATTTAACCAAAGCACTATTTAACCAGTCATGTTAAAGTAGTCTATACAGTAGTAAGTCAAGATAAAATTCATACTGACCACTTAAATTAAGGTAAATTATGGGAATATAAGAATATAACGCACAGATAAAGGAGTACAGCAAAAAGAAGGGAGAGTTGTGCAGTGTCAGGTGGATAGAAGAGAAGTCGAAGTAATAAGCTGGATTTATGTACGTTGAAATCGAAATTCTAGTTAAAAGAGTAGAGTTTGTAAAAATAAAACTTTGATGAATAATATTTCGCACTGTCTAACTGTTTTTTCTATTATTATTGAATGCCAACCTCTAAGTCATACTGTAAGCGCCTGAGTAAGAATGTTGCGGATGTCTCGACAGAATAGCGACCTCAGCATAGTTTTGGAAACGTGAACCACAGAAGTAGCAAGCGTATAAGAGCAACCTCTGTGTTACTGATTAGTCGTCTCATCAATCTAAAGAGCCGAAAGCAAATACAATGTTCTGCCCCACAAACATGGGTGGTTTGAAGTTATCGCCCACACCATCAATGTTTGCTGGTCAGTAACTCCACCCTCCCTCCTTTTGTGTTGTTAGGCTCATTTTAAATGTTTAAAAGAAGCTATTGAGTTCTACTTGGTGTTCTATGTCTCGCATCCTGTTGAGAATGAAAATAAATCTCAGTGAAATAACAAAATTTATAACGTCTATAGTGAACCCTGAATTGGAAACTCCGAAGCTACTCAGTAATCCTCCCCACGAGATACAACTTCTTTACATGTTGGTCTTAGTAGAACGGTATGCTGCCAGTGAGCAGTATAGCAACCACGTTGATCGCACATTGTGGGATATGGATCTACTATTCCCACGTCACATAGATTTTTGAGGGCCATCAGATATTTTGTCTCACCTAGACGATCTAACCAACGACGGCAAAATGCAAGTGTACTGAAATTACGATCAATTACATTTAACAGTTGTTTCGATCTGGCTAACCTGTTAAATAAGGAAAAAAGTGAAAAGATTGTACATTTCAAAACAGAACAACAAACATACCAGTTCTATAAGAACCAGCAAATTTTCTACAATTGTACTGACTTATTCCACACCATTAGATATTGAACTACGTATACACAAACTTGGAACTTTGCAGAACTATGTTTGAACACAAGTCAACTAAGCTGTAGTTGTTGTAGCTCGCAGACTATAACCGACAAAGTTATCATGGGAAGGACAAAATGACAGGATGAGTTGCAAAGCTATGGATAGTGGGGCGGGGTAACATTGAACTCAGAATTACAGAGAGACAGAAACGAAGCTAACAGTACATGCACAACTTTTCATGTACTAGTTTACATTGCCAAACAGTATCCGACTTTTTCAAAACTGAGATAATTACACAGTCACATTAACGGAACATTAGTAAACTAGAAACGTAACGTTATTATAATTACCTAAGAGGAACATATCCAACATCAAATTTCTTCATAAAATACAGAACTTCATCCCCCTCAAGAACGTAACCTTTTCCTGTACTACCGGTTGCTCCAATCACATAATATTCATTTTCCTTAAAAACACACGTCATAACAAAACAGGTAAGTATAAAAAGTTATCAATGTAATTTTAAATGAAAATAACGTGAAAACTACACATGAGGTTATTATTACTTTTCGTTGTTGAGCAAGCTGTTATGAGTTAGAAATAAAACACTAATCACTCAAAGAATCTGGCGTGAAAAGAAGAAGAGGCTGAGTGAATTGTGTTAGTCATGCCAATGTCGGTCTATCAATTAATGTAACTTTCATCTGAATATTTCGACAGATGGAGCTTCAATCACATGTTAAGGTAACGAGTTTCACTGATTAACGACTCGATGGGAAAGTCGTTAGTCAGCTGACAAGTAATTTGTTTCGCGTTTGTGAGCCTTTTTTGAATGCTCTCTTGAAATCTCTGTTTTGGAAAGCAAGACAAAGGAGGAAATGTCAAATGTGAATTGTAGATTCTTAACAGCTGAACCAAATATTAATGATCTAAGTATATCTAGTGAAGAATCGACAGTGGATTCTGATTTTGGAAGGTTAGAATTTGAAAGAATACAGAGAGTGGATGCACATGCGAAATCGCAAGCGTTTTTCAGTTGGATGCCGCCTTCAGGTCGAGAAATACTACTACTGTGAGACTTTTGAACGTGTGTCATTGTTCTTGGACCTGACGTAGTATGAATATCTAGTGTTGAGAGGTACCAAATTGTCTATAATCACCACTAAGTGTTCCGTGATATCCCGTCACGTATATCAAAATAAATCCATGTTTGAATGTTTTATTGAAGGAGCACTTTGCCATTACATGGCGAGCAGAGCATTTAGAAAAATGGCAGCAACGCCAAAAGAACTTTGCGCAATAGATGTGTTTTTGGTACAGTTAAACAAAACCAGTACAATTAAGTTTATTTTTCACAGATCGTATTTTCTGCGTAGAAGCGTTCCACTAGAAATATCTCTTCTATACATTCACATCCAGATCAAAACCTTGCCTGGTTTTCTCTACTTTGTTTTTCACGAGACTTCGTTAAGCGTCGGATAAACTAATACAGCTCGAAACTTCCAAATATTCATCGATCAGGTAGTTAGAGGTTGTCAGGCGTATCTCTATACTTCAACAACATACTTGTATCTAGTGCTTCAGCATTATCAAATCGATTTCAACAGAAGTTGCAGCTATTTGTGATAGTCCTTTGCACGAATCACAAAAGAAATTGCGACGAAATATATATACACATATGTATATTTATAGATAAGTGAAATTTCGTCTGTTTTCCATTAGACAAATATTACGTGGCAGACGTGAAAGTTGTGTCTAATTTTTATTTGCTTCATTCACAGTAAAAATAAATAATTGAATAAACAGAAATAACGGAAACTTGGATTACTTTCTCAAACGAATAACTCATTCAAAGCATGATAGTGAGCGATTTACCTTGGTAAGTGTTTCCATCTAATTCCACTTCGTAGGACTCCATTGTCTCTTGAATAGCTGCTCCAACATCACACAAACGTACGTCAATACCAGCTGCCTAGTATCAGACAAAATAAGTTATTCATGACTATGCGTATTTAAATTTATAGAAATAATGGTCACAAATCAATAGTAAATCCAAATATAGTGTGATTTCCAAAGTTAGTGACTGATGATTCAAACGTATCATAAAATAGAAAGACTGAAATATCCTACCTTTAAAAACACTTGTTTCTTATCTTGGTCGCCCAAACATCAGTACTACGCTCAGCACTACCCGAAAAATAAAGAATGAATGTATTCGTAGTAGTGCAATCACTCGGAGTGCCTAAACTTGCATCACAGTTTCGCCAAGTTTATCAGCCATAAGTTGGTCCAATTTGAGTTAGTTACAATAGTCTAAAAACGAAACATTCGCGCACTGAAACACAGACTCCGTGTCTGTTTAGTTCCGTCTACATTCTACTCTTTGACATAATACAATATAAAATATAATTTTGACGTGATTTAAGAAGTACAACTTTGTTAGTCTGACTGGCTGATAACTTTGTGTACTAGGCTTTGAGTCAAATCAACTAAATGTTTGATAGATAATCTCTTTGACGCAAGGTACACAAGGATGTTTGCTCCTAATTCAGTGAATGGAAGTCTAACACCTGATGTATTAAAAAGACAACTCGATTTTCAGACCGCTACCATTAATTTATTCGCTAAGCGCCATCAAATACCAACTATGCATACATGTGAATAAATTAAAGAGATATTATTATTCATAAGCATACCTTAATACCGGTATTAGTTGCATCCTTAACAGCCTCTACCAAAGTATCGAATTTAGGATTAAAGTGAAGTGTGAAAGCACAATTAATAAGACGACCTGAAATTAAATTAGAAAATATTATAAGCTACTTGATCAAATAATGATACAACCGATAAAAATACTCATCAATCTGACTTGATTAGTTTGAAGAAAAATGTTGACATTTTACTGTACATGATTATTGCAACAATTCATCTGACTACAGATTTAGATGTATAAGCAGTAACACTATATAATCAGAGTTGGTGTTGAATTTTTATTCCTGACGTGGCAGTCACACGTCGTCTTACAGGCTTGATCAATGTGATATAATGGATATTATAAATATGTTTTCAATTTGGGTGTCTACCCTGCGCAAACGTTTAATCAATTTGAATACTCTAATTAAGTTTCTCGTGTTCTTTTATTTGATGAATGAAATTGGTCTAAATAAATTATCCTTTCGTCAAGCAGCGTCTTTGCGATCGTTGTAATCCACTTAGTTGCAGTTCTTTGAACCTTTCCCCCAGCCCTCTTTATTTAGGTAGAGACTGTCTGCTTGTATGCAGTACTCGAATCTAGGACGTATAAGTACTGTATACAAAGTCAAAATGTCTTAACATCGACATAGGTAGAGGGTTAACGTCTTGACATTTGGAGGCCATCATTCTGCCTTGTGCAGTAGTTGTCAAATGTTTGTTGCTAATGATTCTCAGTTCATTATATCTGGATAACACGCAGATCAATATTATGATCCGTTTTTGTATGTGTATCTTGGTGGCTAATATACGACATAATGCACATCAAAGAGAGAGCTCCCATCGGCCACGTCGCTGTTACCATTATGGATGCTGTTGAACGATGCTTTCTTTGGCTCACTATATGTCGATATGGACGTAGTCGTACTAACTCCACATTTGCTGCCTAACGAGCCACCCACTGGGATGGCAACAGAAGATTTTGGGATAGACCTACGCAAGGTAGTGGTGATATTACATTCGTGACACGGCAGGCACACTCCGTCTTACAGGCTCGATCAGTGGGATATAATGGATATTCCAACGAGTGTTTTCAAATTGGGAAGCTACCCAGCAGTAGTCTTGGGTGGTATTGTTATTCAGATGTGACTTACTAGACGGTATTTTGGGAGATGCACCTGCAGAGTATTTGTGTATTGGAACAGGTTAGTAGGCTCGTATTTGTTAGAAAGTGCTGATTGTAAGATAGAGTGCAAACAATCGAGGAGAAATTGAATAAGAAACTGAGAGTCCGTTCAATTAAGTCAAAAGTGCAACAAGAAGAGTGAAGCTTGTGAAAAGCATTGATAATAATATTGTTTATCACCTACCATCACTTTTTCATCGAATATCAACCTCTAGGTCATACTGTAATTCCCTGAGTAAGTATTTTGCAGGTCATCTTGGTAGAATAGCAATCACAGCAGAAAGTTGGAAACACGGGCTCAAGGAACGACAAGCGTATGAGAGCGACGGCGGTACCACTGATTGGTCGCCTTTTAGTGGTGATCGAGTCTAGATTGACTATGTTCACCATCAGCTGCAAATATACTTACTTACTTACTTACTTACGCCTGTTAACCCAAATCGAGTATAGGCCGCCCACCAGTTTTCTCCAAACAACTCTGTCCTGGGCTTCTCTCTCCAGTTCTGTCCAATGTTTGTTTATTCCTCTCATATCTTTCTCTGTTTCTCAGCGTAGTGTGTTCTTTGGCCTTCCTCTTTTCCTTTTGCCTTGAGGGTTCCATTTGAGGGCTTGTCTCGTGACTCAGTTAGGTGCTTTCCGCAATCTGTGTCCTATCCACTTCCACCACTGCTTCCTGATTTCCTCATCCACTGCAATCTGGTTTGTTCTCTCCCACAGTTCGTTGTTGCTGATGGTGTCTGGCCAACGAATACGAAGTATTTTGCGTAGACAGCTGTTCATAAACACTTGTATCTTGTGGATGATGCCTTTGGTAGTTCTCCATGTTTCCGCTCCATACAGTAGAACTGTCTTCACATTTGTATTGAAAATCCTGATTTTGTTGTCGGTTGAAAGTTGTTTGGAGTTCCAGATATTTTTCAACTGTAGAAATGCAGCCCTTGCTTTGCCAATCCGTGCCCTCACATCTGCATCCGATCCATCATGGTTGTCGACGATGCTGCCCAGATATGTAAAGGTGTTAACTTCCTCCAAGGCATCTACATCAAGAGTGATTTGGTTAGTGCATGTTGTGTTACATCGGAGAATTTTGCTTTTCCCTTTATGTATGTTGAGACCAATTGCTGCAGAGGCTGCTGCTACACTGGTTGTCTTCTCTTGCATTTGTTGTTGTGTGTGCGATAGAAGAGCCAAGTCATCTGCGAAGTCCAGATCGTCCAGCTGCGTCCTAACTGTCCAGTTGATACCGTGCTTCACTCCAGATGTTGACGTTTTCATAATCCAGTCGATGACCAGGAGAAAGAGAAAGGGTGAGAGTAAGTAACCTTGCCTGACACCGGTCTTCATCTCGAAAGGTTCTGTCAGCTGAGCTCCGTGCACGATTTTGCAGTTGAATCCATCATAAGAATTCCGTATGATGTTGACTATTTTCTCAGGCACCCCGTAGTGTCGAAGAAGCCTCCACAGTGTTTTCCTATCCACGCTATCGAATGCTTTCTCGTAGTCGATGAAGTTGATGTAGAGTGGTGAGTTCCATTCAATTGATTGTTCCACAATGATCCGTAATGTAGCAATTTGGTCAGTACACGATCGATCCTTACGAAATCCAGCCTGTTAATCTCGAAGTTGGGCGTCTACGAAGTCCTTCATTCTGTTTAACAAAACTCTGTTGAAGACTTTGCTTGGTATTGAAAGAAGAGTGATGCCTCTGTAGTTCTCACACTTGCTGAGATCGCCTTTCTTTGGTATTTTGATGAGGTATCCTTCTTTCCAATCTGATGGTACTTGTTCCTCATCCCAAATCTTCTTGAAGAGGATGTAAAATATTTTCGCAGTTGCTTCAACATCTGCTTTCATTGCCTCTGCTGGAATGTTGTCTGGTCCTGCTGCTTTGCCGCTCTTGATTTGTCTGATGGCCATACTGATCTGCTCAATCGTAGGTGTGCCAATATTAATTGGGAGGTCCGTGGATGCTGCTTCGATGTTGGATGGGTTCAGTGGAGCTGGTCAATTCAGGAGTTCCTTAAAGTGCTCTACCCACCTATTTCGCTGTTCGTCAGTGTTGCTGATTATTTTCCCATCCTTGCTTTTCACTGGTCGTTCTGGTTTACGATAGTTTCCGGCGAGCTTCTTCGTTGTTTCGTACAATTGTCTCAAGTTTCCGTCTCTTGCATCTTTTTCCGCCTTCATTGCTAGATCTTACACATATTTTCGTTTGTCAGCTTTGACGCTCTTTTTCACTTCCCTGTTTGCTTCTGTGTATTCAGCTTGTGTGGTAACTTTCTCTGCTCTTGTTCGGCTGACATTGATTGCTGCCTTCTTGTTCCACATTTTTTCAATTTTTGCGAGAGTATCAACAGAGATCCATTCCTTGTGATGGTAATTCTTGTGACCCAGAACTTCGTGACATGTTGAAGTGATTGCCTCCTTAATCCCTTTCCAATTGTTCTCCAATGTTGCCTCCTCTCCATTGAGTAGATCCTGAAAGGCCTGGAACCTATTGGTGAGGGCTATCCTGAATTCGTTGAGCTTTACAGTATCCCGAAGAAAGGCCGTATTAAACTTGTGTGATGTTGTCTGCCCCGTTGTCCAGTGCTTCTTTAGTTTAAGTTTCATTTTTCGCGACCAGCAAATGGTGATCTGAAGCTATATCAGCTCCTCTCTTGGTTCTCACATCCTCCATGGTCCTTCTGAACTTTTTGTTGATACAGATATGGTCAATTTGGTTTTGAGTAGTGTGATCCGGTGAAATCCATGTGGCTTTGTGAATGCGTTTGTGCGGGAATATTGTGCCACCGATGACCAGTTTGTTGAAGGCACATAGGTTTGCAAATCTCTCACCGTTTTCGTTCCTTTCTCCCAGTCCATGTCGTCCCATGATGTCTTCATATCCAGTGTTGTCCATTCCAACCTCAGCATTCAGGTCTCCCATAAGAATCGTCAAATCCATTGGTGAACATTTCTCGACGATTGAATGCAGCCTTTCGTAGAATCGATCTTTAACGTCTTCACTGTAGTCATTGGTAGGTGTATAGCATTGAATGACGTTCATTGTAATGTCCTGTTTCTTTGTTTTGAAGGATGCTTTGATGATCCTCGCTCCATGAGATTCCTATTCTATCAGTGCCTTTTTGCATGTTTGGAGAGCATCAGTGCAAATCTTTGTGTATGTATGAATTATTTTTTCTGGTTAGCGTTTTTCTGGCAAGTTAGATTTCGACGGAATGGGGTCGCCAACCCCATGTCCAACTCTCCTCTTTACCCGGGCTTGGGACCGGCAGTAGCCCCGAATGTTCTACTGGCGGAGTTAGTTGCAAATACGGAGTTGTATAATGATAATCAATTAATTGCAAGTCACTAGAATGTATGTGAAATCAGTAAACTGATGATATGCAGTAAGGGCTGACTAAATTTTTGGCATTGATGGAGTTCTATGCAATCTGAATTAGGTGTTGTTTTCTCAGGTTGACTGAGTGCATGACTAATAGAAATAAATCAGCCAATGTTGAGGTTTTCGCGATAGCTTTCTAGTAGAGTATAGTGCGTCCTAACCAGACAGCTGCAGTTAGGCGGTTTTGTGAAAGTAATTGACAACATTGATCTTCTTTGTTGGAGTAGGCACCTGAAGTTCCTTCTGCACCAACGTCTCCATGCTGTGCTCATGATCGTGCTTTGGATCTCGTTCGTGGAATCGCAGTTTGTATTGTGGTGCAGAACTGGTGAGAATCTGTGGAAGACGTATGGGTGTCATTCAACTGCACGCGCAACTTCCTGTTTTGAGTTTCTGTCATCATTCATAACTTGCCTCTCGTTGTATCGCTCACTTTGTCCTTCAAATACATTCTTTACCCTGCATTTACTTAGAATTCTTTAACGGGCTAGTAATTAGTATTTAGTGGGAAACATAGTCAATCCTGACTCGGTCAACACTAAAGACGATTCTAGTTGATATAATGCCAAATTTGTTGTGCTTTTGAATCGAATTTGCAATTATTGAGTAAATTTTTCGGTTCATGGTCCGTTCAACGGTTCTGGTTCCGGCAGCTGGAGATAACTAACTACACCGTATTCCATTGTCAATCCTTACTTGGATATTCATACCGTGACCAGTGTCGATCAACCAGATAGGTTGTTTGACTATTTGAATAAAAAAGTATGGAGGGATATGTAACCATGTCGAAGGATTAATTGCAACCTTCGGATAGGAATACAAATGGAAACACCGCTTAAATTCCATATGGCTTAAACGTGTAGCGGGCCGATGATGCTTGAGTAAACGAAGCAGTACAAATTGGGGCTTTATTAAGAAACCTTACAAACATATGCACTCCATCTGCCACCCGTATATTTAGGCGAAGACTGTTCCATATTGGCGTGTATCTCAATTCGGACGAATGATTGAATATGCTATGAAATATATTTTCCCTAAGGCGAACCTCGTTGCGCGACGGTGATTATAAGAAGCCAAACACCAATTCGGTCGGATGGGTTTACTTCATGCACTCGTTCACACATGAGAATACACAGCATCAATGCAAAGTGGAGGAGGCGAGTGAGCCAACTCCATGTGATGAGGCATAACTAACCTTTTATAGTCAGACACAAATAGGCTTGACGCGTGATAAGAAAAATAAGCATGCACACATACTCAAATAAAAGCCATCACGATAGAAGCTAGTAATTGACGAGGTCAGTGCGAATAACTCTGGAAGAATGAATTAGTTAAGTTGTCCGAAGTCCAAGACTATCCCCGTCTGCTCGACATATTATTGCACACTCCACTGGCTTTGAAATGCGACACATTTTCTAGTTGAATTTCTATCAGTCTGTTGATGGGATTTTACCGGTTTCGCTAGAGCAATGCTGCGGTATTGTTAAGGTGCAAATGCTGGTTGTTTAGCGGTCTGACTTTGAATCGTAGTCTTGTCACAGATAATTCTAGCCTTCTCAAACTTCGGCTTGCGCTTAAGTTAGGTACTTACTTACTCTTGTTACCCTCATTGAAGCATAGGCCGCCCACCAGTTCTTTCCAACCAAGTCCGTCTTGAGCTACCCTTTCCAGTTCCTTCCGGTTTTTGTTTATTTTTCTCATGTATTTCTCTGTTTCTCGGTGTAACTTTTTACTTGGCCTTCCTATTTTCCTTTGACCTTGATGGTCTCATGTGAGGGCTTGTCTGGTGACGCATCAGGCCGCTTTTCTGCATTGGATCCACCTTGGTTGTCGATGATGCTCCCAAGATATGTAAAGGTGTCAACGTCCTTCAAAGAATATCCATCAAGAGTTATTTGCTTGGCGCATTTTGTGTTGTATTGTAGGATCTTACTTTTCTGTTTATGAATGATGTGACCTACTGCCCTTAGAGCTGTTGCAACACTGGTCATCTTCTCTTGCATTTGTTATTGTGTGTGCGATAGAAGTGCCAGTTTATCTGCTAAGTTCAGATCGTCGAACTGTGTCCTAGCTGTCCATTAGATACCATACTTCACTCCAGTCGATCACCAAGAGAAAGAGAAAGGGTAAGAGTAAGCAACCTTGCCTCACACCGGTCTTCACCTGGAAATGGCAGCATCCAAGCGTACCAACACTTATAACCGTCAGAACTGGGAAGACTCGTCATTCCCCGTTCCATGTGAGAAATGCTTAGGACCAAGTCCATTTGTTCGAATGATGAAATAAAAATATAGCAAAGAGTGCAAAATTTGTGATCGCCATTTCACCGTATTTCATTGGTGTCCTGGTCCGAAAGCCAGATTCAAAAAGACCGAAGTTTGTCAGTTCTACAAAAATAAAAATTTTTGCCAGACCTGTTTGTTTGACCTCGAATACGGCGTTCCTGTTGAGGTTGGTGATAAGGCACTTCGTTTATCACAGCAACTACCGAAAAATTATGTTAATCGAGAATATTTCCACCAGCAAATTGAACAGAACCTGGAAGTGGAAGGTGATATAATGGCTCCATATGGAGGGAATCAGCTAATTTGAAAAGCTATTTCGAACACTGCGTCAGCAAGCAGTTATAGCGGTGGCGGGGGCACAGATGTACTTCTAAAGCTGGCCCGTACTGCACCGTATTATCGTAGAAATCGCTCACATACATGCTCCTTTTGGGTGAAGGGTGAACGTAGAAGAGGAGAAGAATGTCCATATAGACATGTAAAGCCTACGGATCCTGATGACCCTCTTTCTGACCAGAATCTAAGAGACCGTTGTTATGGACATGATGATCCAATGGCATCCAAATTGCTTTCGAAATATGATACTATGCCTAAACTTATTCCTCCGGAGGATCGTTCAATAACTGCACTATGTATTGGTGGTATTCCAGCTGGAATGACTGAAAAAGATCTGCGCAATCATTTATACCAGTTTGGAGGGCTACGTTCCGTCAATCTTCATGCGAAACAACATTGTGCATTCATACAGTTTGCAACAAGAGGTGTTACTGAGCAGACCTATGACCGATTAATTTTGGGTGGTCATAGACTAACTGTCAAATCACCAGCTGACTAAGCAGCTGCCAGTTCTCACTTATTGACAGAAGCTGGTGATATAAGTCTACCTCCTGTTCCTGGTCTGCAGTTACCGCCTGTTTCGCCCGTAGCCAACTTACTAAATAAAGCTATGTCTGTCGGACTAAGCGGGAATTTCTTTATGGCCCCACTGCCACCACCACCACCTCCAACACCGCCGCCTAATACGAAACCACTAATCGGTTCCAGTTCCGACCACGTATCTAGTAGCAGAATGCCGTTTATTCCACCTCCAGCTCAACTTGCACCGCCAGTTTTTGAACCACCACCTCCAGGAGAATTGAATTTACGAGGTAAACCACCTCCACCTTTACCTCATTTCACTGTTCGTCCTACAAGCTTATTACGAAACCCTCTACTACCAGCACCACCCGCCATACGTGATGAGCGGACCTCTCTCACAATCTTCACTACCAATTAACAAACTAAATTCATCTATATATTACTCAGTTCTGAAATTTTATTCATATTATCATTAGAATTTTATTCTTATTATTATCGAAATTGCAAATAACTGATCTCTGGTCTGGTAATGTGATAGGTGCTTGTATCCGGAAACCGTACTGCTCTGAATCAAACGTTTTCATTCGTAACACGAGACATATAAACTTAACCAATTGCCAACTAACTAGAAATAGAAAGTCGAGTGGCTAGACCTCCATTCATTGGACATTACAAAACGCCCGGAATCGTAACGAAAGATCAAGAATCGAGTGCAAATAAATCAATCAGCTTATACTAACTCGTGAAAAAGATATTGGATATTGGATAACTTGGCGCCATCACCACATAATTATTCTTAACGCTCTTTAAGACCTTGAGGTTCACATCGTCATCCCATCACTCTGCTTATAGAGACAAATTTCTCTTGGATCGAGTGCAGAGGTGAGCAACGAAATGGGTTATATGGTTGAAGAACAAACCTTAGAAAAATAGACTCCGGCACTTGAGATTATTCCCACCGAGTTACATGAAGATTGGGGGTGATCTGGTTATGGCGTTCAACATATAAAGCGCGCCAAACCATTCCCACGTGTGCATCTTACCGACACATCACCGCCACTCGCCTCGAAGAAATCCTCGAAAAGTTGCACATCAAGAGCGAATGCTCATGTTCATGCACACTTTTAACTATTGAGAGTCATTGCTTTCCCAGCCGAGATGACCACACCCCCCTCAGTGGACAGCTTTAAGAAGAGAGATTTGATAATCACGTATTCACAAACGGATTGTCATCTCCCTCATGGACAAGCTGTGCCTGATGCATATCATGAGACCTGCTAGTTGTTATCATTGCCATCTCTTCAGATCACTCAATTATTCCATCTCGTCTATTATCTCTGTTTCTTCTAGCTTGCTAAGACTTCGGTCCTCTCTCACAATCTTCACTACCAATTAACAAACTAAATTCATCTATATATTACTCAGTTCTGAAATTTTATTCATATTATCATTGGAATTTTATCCTTATTATCCTTGTTACTTTCCACACTGCAACTAACTGATCTCCGGTTTGGTAATGTGACGGCTGCTAGTATACAGAAACCCTACTGCCCTGAAACAAACGTTTCATTCAAATCCCGAGATATACAAACTCACAATCAACTGCCAACTGAATAGAATTAGACCTCCATCCATTGGACATTACCGAACACCTGGAACCGTACCGAAAGAACAATAATCGAGCGCGAAGAAATCGAATTGGTTAACACTATCTCGTGAAAAAGATATTGGATATTGGACCTACACGATAACTTACGACATAGGTTGTTTGGATTTTTCTGCCGATTTTTCGAGGTTAATCGAAGTTGGTACGGTTTGTGTAAATCGTCCGCAATATAATCCCGTCGATTTCCAACTTTATGGTACTTGAATTCCTATCGGAATAGCAAGTTGTTTAATGTTCTGGATTTGCTATGATGTATTACTACAGGGTGTATCTTAAATATATGAAAGCCAGGGGAAGAATGTGAGAAAAGTGAATCGTAATTATCCTAATCAAGTTTGATCTTTTGCACCAGTTTTTCCATTGTTTACTCAATAAATCAATATTGGCAGGTACATTTTGAAAGATTTCCTTCTCCCAAACGCTTTTATTGGTCATTTTTAGCTAAATGTCTAAGGAAGAATTGTTTCGAACCTGAAAACATCGCATGTATACAGTTAACGATAAGACGATTTCACAAAACGTTTATAATGAGGATGCCAAATAGTAAAACAGAAGTTGTATGTACGGTTATTTAAAGATCTATTTAGAAAACGGTTGATGCTATGATGTGAACTATACTGAGGGTAATAATTAAAAACTTGCAGCACAGCCTACAGATATCTTACTGTGTGACTGCGAAATCTGCTACTTCGGTGAGAGTAGTGCTCAGTAGTGCTAATTAGATCAGCATCAAAGTGGAAGAGAAACGAAAATGTTATATTCACAAACAAAATAACAAAGTCCTACGGCACGATGAAATAGACGCAGTGGTGTACCTTTAACATGGTATTCGTAACATCTGATGTGGCGAAATAGGCTGACCATGATGGTTGTATTTACGTTTGTCACCTCCACTAGATTGAGTCCATGGATTCATTCTTAAGCATTCTTAAGCATATACAGGTTTCGTTGTCAACAGTCTGTCTATCGAATGTTTGAGTTACTTGAAACCTCTGTATTATATAATGACGATAATAGTAAATTCAGAAGATAATAATTTCAGAGTACATTTCGCATGCTTACAAATTGCACACTGTTCACGATCCGTCCTACACATTCGGATTGTTGTTTTAGTTGTTGTAGTACATCCATTCCAGTACGTTTTACTTGTTCATTATGTAATTTTCAAAACTATAAGCGTAATTGATGTTGTTTCTGTGTATTAAATATCAATCTGCTGAATGTTTATCTGTCGCAAAGTTTCTATGGTTTGCCACCGTACAACGTCCTGAATTAGATTTGTTTTGATTGCAGAAGTTGATTTTGCAAAAATTGGTCAACTTGGAATACAACGTAGCTTATCTATTTCACCTAATAGTTGTTTGTTGTATCTCAGTCTATTGTGGAATGGCTGAGTGTTTTAATAAGTAGTTGTCTTGAAATATGTTTGTTCACCTCCTTTTTTTAGTTGATGATATCGGAACATCTTTTTACCGGATACGTATACATAGTGTTAACTTATTTCGTGAATTAAAGGCCGATGATGAATTGTTCGAATTCAGTGGATACTTCATCTCTAGTAGTGCGAAGGTCCGTGAATGACTTGAGGGAGTATAATGTGGTGATTTTATGCAACAGAATGAAAGTGCTTCTTATAAGTGACCCGGAAACAGACAAATCTGCAGTCTGTCTGTCTGTGAACATTGGTATGTTGATCATGGTTTGTCTAGTGCTCTAATTCTAGGTTCGTTGTCGGACCCGAAGGAACTACCTGGTCTCGCACACTTTTGTGAGCATATGTTGTTTCTTGGTACAGAATCCTTCCCAACAGAGAATACATATGCGAAATACATAAGCAGTCATGGTGGTCACTGTAATGCTTTCACGAGTCCGGACAAAACGTCTTATGTGTTTGATGTTGCACCGGAGAATTTGAGAGGAGCTCTGGATATTTTCTCTCAGTTTTTCGTGTGTCCTCTTTTCACGGATTCTGCAACAGAACGTGAGGTTAGTTTATATTTGGTTAGTGAACATGTAAATTGCTTGTGTGTAGTAGATGAAGCATGGTTTCAATAGAAAGACAGCAATTTCCGACTAAGTTCATATTTTGTTTCAGCGAAAAGTTTAGGGCGACTGATGCAGTGTGCATTAATCAGATGCAAAGTAACAAAAGTTTGAGTGTTATGCACGAATCAAAGAATAAAATGTCGTAGGTTGATCAATAAATTATAATGTTTTGATTTTTGGTCGTCGACTTACAATGATGAACACTGCTTTTAATTTTACGATAACATTTTCCTCACTTTTCAGATTAAGATCGTTAAAATATATTTATCAAACCTAGTGTTGTAATCAACAATATATGTGTGAGCAAACGCGACTTTGTCATATTGTCTCAGTCTCCTGTAGACCTGATAACAGCTTTCTACCAAATTGAACTGTTATGCTTCGAAGTTGTAAGAGTACTGGGTTTATTTTCTGTGACTACCGAAATAAAGGTTATAGACATTTTATGTAATAAGAAGTAAACCTCGTTTAAGTCAGTTAGACTCGATTAGTGAGACCGAACGACAGTGTTACAGATAACTTGCCCTACTGTTTTTTCTGTGTACATCATCATTAATAAGTGAAGTTTTAATTTCAGGTGAGTGCTGTACAGTCGGAACATGAAAAGGATATTAGCAATGATACTAGACGTCTTTTTCAACTTGAACGAACCCTGTCAAAAAGTGGTCATGATTATGCGAAATTCTTCTCCGGCAATCGCTACTCCTTATTTGAGTCCAGTTGTGCACGATCAGTGAATACACGTGAACAGTTGTTACAATTCCACTCAACATGGTATTCGTCAAATATTATGGGACTGGTCATTCTTGGAAAAGGTACATAACATAAGTATTGTGGAAAGAGATTGATTAATAAAATTCCTGACTTCTGAGCTCTGCATTTGTTTTTAAAAGTTCAACATATCTAAACTATGTAAAACTGTTATCGCTTATTACACTCTCACGGGCATTTGATTCATGATTGATATTTCGGACTGTGAATGTATGGATGGACCCTCAAACTGTGAGTCGTTAGAGTTTTACTGATTGGTTCATTACGTTCTCAATCTGTGACGGGAAATGCTTTGGGCTGTGAGTGTCTGGTGAATTGGTTAGTCAGTGGATAGGAACGTTTTGTATTTTTCATCACAATATAAAATATGATTCGAAGATTGATTCACTAAGATTAGACAAAGCATAAAATGTTATGAAACTGGTTGTTTTTAACGAGATACCACCATGTTCATCATTAGCTCAATGTGTGGGACTAAAATTAATTCTGTATTGTCCTTCGTACATATATTATCTGAGGCATCGTCTCATATGTGATGCAGTGGCAATAAGAATCAAAATGTTGCCAAACAAACGCTCAAGCTACTCAAGAATGAGATCGTTCTTGTCAACTTTTGTGATTGAATTGTGTTATTCGTGGTTAGAAACTGTGTTTTATGGAGAGTACTAGATGAGTGAGAAAGAGAACGTGTGAAGAACAAACTGTATTGACATATTGACGGATGACTCAAATAAATGGTACAATGCCATTGTTTGTGACTCCTATTGAACATGTATTTCATACTTTCCCGACTTGTGGAATATGCAGCTTTAACAACTACGAAATTGTAATGGACTGATATTTTGTTCGTTTTATGTTAATTTTGATAAATCTGCATATTTGTATTTGTTACACATCATGTGAGTACGAGATGTAGTTAGTTTTTATTTTTTAATTGTGTTTGTACTTGTTTTCGATGAAACCTTTCCAGAATCTATAGACGATTTACAGAAGCTTGCAGAAGATAATTTTTCTCAGGTTATGGATCGTAATGTTGTGCGACCATCATGGTATGACACTCCATGGCCTGATATCTGTCTCAAGGTAACACTTTCATTTGACCTTAATTACACTGAATGGGCTTGTTGAGTATAATGTACATATTTGGTTTGGTTGTTGTGTGTGTCATTAGTCTAGCAGATATTTTGTTGAATAAATGATATGTGAGCTCACATTGTTGATTGCCATAGATGAAAAGTCATTTAGAGTCAGTCTCTTTCACAGACAGAGTAAACTATAGTGGATTAGTAAGGTTTTCGTTTAAGAACACAGCATTTAGGAGCTTCAAATACGAGAAAGTGAAAATGGAAACATTAAAGTTAGTGTAGCAATGATGTGTGTAGATTTCTAGTCTGTAGAATGTTTTATTTGAAGTTAGACATTCCGTCATGTAAATTTTATATCATTACTTCATGGTTGTCAGATGCATCAGTACAGTCCAATAAATACTACTAGACATGGTCTGTGAGTAGTGAGAATGACCAGATGGAGTAATGTAGGCCATAAATGATTTTAATGTATTGTTCAGAAATAAAGTCCTGTATCTTAAGCATGGAATTGGAATTTGTATGTGCTAGAATGTTGATCGCCAAATTATCCTTGTGGACAACCGGAGTTGTACTATTGCTGTGATTGTAAATTGTGAATCAAAGCAATTTTCTTATTTTATTCTGCAACTGTAAATGATGTTAGTGAGAATTTTAATAATTTTTGTCAGTAGGTTAGAGATTTAAGTTAAAATAAACGTATTCTTATTTTCTTACAGAAAATGGTATATGTCGTCCCACTGAACGATATTCATCAAATGAATATTATGTGGCCCATTCCTGATTATATTCCGAATTATAGAGCACAAGTAAATTACTGTTTTCAAATGATTTGATCAGTTATGTAAATTATGATGCTGCTTCATAGCTATTCGAATCCTACCGACGTCCAACTCCAAATATTCTAATACGACCCAAATACTATTCCCAAATCTCCTATATATCAGAACGCAACACCGTCAGATGAAGTTGTTTAATGGGTCGAGTACAGTAGAGAGGAAGGCAGGAAGGAACGGAAATGAATAGCTTTACAGATAACGCGTATTTATACATTTAGGTCGAATAGGAAAGAGTATGGAAGTCTGTGACATTGAAAGTTAAGGCGACCAGTAAGAAACAACATTGGAGTACGTGACATTGATGTGTAGGACGACCATAAAATTAGCCAGTAGTAACTGACCAGTAATTCTCTTAGGATATTGGATGAATATCCTAACAATGTACAAGTGTAAATTAATTGTTCTCTATTTACATTTACCTTATTTTTTCTGAATGTATGTATATCAAATGATTAAAAAGTAGGAGTTTGGTTTATCGATGCAATGATTATTTAGGTTTGCTCAAACCTGTTAGATGTAGACTACCTATTTGGATTCTGCGATTAAGTGGTAACAGATGGTTAGAGACTTTGAATGATGAGGTTCAAAATCTTCTCAGTAGCGTAAATGCGCTGATTCTTTGTCTTCTCTCGAATTTTGTTCTGTATTCCTCAGGACCTTTTTCGTTTTATTAATTTATTTCACCGGCATATGCTTCTCGAATTGTATCTTCGATCTCTAATCTTTTCAGTTTCCGCTCATACTTCTACATTGTAGCTGACTGACTTAGGTTTGTGTATAGTTGAGCATGATTCACACCAGCAGTTTTAAGACTTGTGTTTTCGACTGGTATATATGTGTTATGTAGTATGAGATTTGCTTTAAATGGCCAGATAATTATCATTGACAATTTGATAATTGTAGTTGGATAGATTTAGAATGCGATTTCTGAGCAAATACATGCGTATATTTTGGAACGTTGTCTTAGTTTCTTCCATTCCTCTCAGTCAAGTTATAGATCTATTCTTCATACAGTGTACATCAAATTTTCTATGAGAATATCTTGTTGGTTACTTAGTTAAATACTCTGCAACACTGATAGTTACACAAATCCAAAGGGCCAGAAAGAAGTGGTCACATAATAAATAAACTCTGAGGATATCCGAATGAAAGTAAATTAAATTCATGCTATTCTGTTCAAATCTTTTTTCTTAATGTGTTCAAAGCGATAATGGCAACTATGTGTTCGAACATTTGTAATCTTTTATGAACACGAAGGTCGTTTACATCATTTATCGACATCGAATGAATAGTAATTCAATATCAGGTTACTTGCGAGCGTTATCTTGATCCCCTTTTTCATACAGACGATATCACGCCACATGAAGACAAATTAGTTCTCTAATGTTTCTTGGTTTTGAATATTAGCCCTACATAAAACTTACCATGTGAAACGTTTTATCCTAATTTCCACTAACTATTTGTTTTTTGTTTTTAATTCTTATAATTTACAGGCCCTTAGTTATGTGACTTATTTGATTGGTCACGAAAGTCATGGAAGTTTGCTGAGTTTATTCAAAAACTCAGGTTGGGCTTATCAACTAACATGTGGTGTGAATAGACCTGGAGTAGGGATTTGTTATTTAAATGTATTCATTGATTTAACTTTTGAAGGACTTGGTAAGTTAATTGTTAATTATTATGTATAACTTAATAATATTACTTAGATACATTTTGTATGTATGTATATTTACATTGACTAGATCATTATTAAAAATTATATTTTTCCAATTTTTATTTTATTTAGAAAAAGTGAATGAAATTATAACATATATATATCAATACATTAATATGCTTCGCTCTGGTGAACCACAAAAGTGGATATTTAATGAACAACAAGTAAGATGTTGATTGTTTCTATAATTATTTTAAACTGGAACTAAATAATCTTATCTAAATAACGTTATGCTGAATTACTGCTTATATGATAGTAAATGACAATTGTGTTGTCAGTCGGCTATATACAACAACGAAGAACCGTATGTGTAACGGCTTAAAGGGCTGTGGTAATTAATAGCTACTATGACTTTAATAGTGTGAACGGAACCATTTTTGTCGGTTCCAATAACTTTACTGTAACAAACACCAGTTATTTTTTCAAATGACGCTTTTTGGGTTTTGTCACACTATATAATTAATCGGCAATATATGAAGTTTATTGATCATATATTGATTCAAAAAAAAATGATTAGATTATTTAAACTGAATATTTGTCGTTAGCGCAAATCATCATGGGCATGTATTAAAATTCTCGCTGAATACTTTACTGTAACAGGTTTCGGACATAATCCGCATTGATCTTCTTCGCATAAGTTGCAATTGGAAACTGCACATTTCTTCAATCATACCAACTTAATACATTGAAACGAATTGGAAGGTGCAGAGACAATAAAGTTGAGAATCTGTTGCTATTATTCCATTAAAAACAAATATATGAATTAGGGAGCTAGCTCTGCATCACTACTTTATCTGGTGTTATTTCAGAATTTTTCAGAAGCCTGAGGTCATGTGTAACTATGAATACCTATCTATATACCTATCTATCTATGTCTGTAAATAAACCAATGTACGAGTTGAACGCACTTCGGCCCTTTTCTCTCGTGTTTAAGTTGTTGTGTAGATTTAGCTTGGGGTTATTGAAAGCGGCTGGAAGATCAGATCTAAGTTTCTCTTAACCGAGTTATAACTGTGTAAGGCCAGTTCACAAAGACCAGGTGTATTTATTGAATGTATAAGTCAGTTCTTAACTACGTTTGAATGTTTGTTAAATTATCTGGTGGATATTTTTTGCACACAATGTTCAATTTTAGAAATTACGGGAACTCAACTTTCGATTTAAAGATGAAGAGTCACCTTATGAATATGTGCTTAGATTATCCCACAATCTATTGGTGAGTACCAGTGAAAATAAACAATTTAAATTTGTAAGCCTTTGATGACCTTTAAAACTTTTAAAAGCAAGTCTAGAAACCTATTCTCCCATCCTTCAGATCAATTAGCTTTCAACATTGCTACACCTGTTATTAAGATAAATTTATAGAAAAAATTATCTGATTAGCATAATTATGATCTCTTCTCATTTTACGACTTTTTTAGCTTTATAATATACAAGATGTCCTAACAGGTCCCTTTTTGGCCACTGTCTACGATCCTAAATTAATTAAGGAATTTTTAACCTGTCTAAACCCTGATAATAGTCGGTACGTTCCATCGCGTTCTTTTTCAATAGCTTACGATTTTCAATACCATGCTAATTTATGATGCTTCAAAAATTTAAAAATATGGTTTTTGTTAGGATATTCGTCTGGTATCCTAAGAGAATTATTTGTAAGTTTAGATCTATTGGTCAATTCTTATTGGTTAATTCCTATTGCTCGTCCTAACTATCAATGTCATATACTTCAATGTTGTTTCCTATTCGACCTAACTGTATAAATACGCATTATCTGTTAAGTTTTATGACCCGAATCCTTAGTCTAAGATCCTCATTCTCTTCTGAACTCGAACCCCGTACTTTCTGGATGCTTACAGAATACACGCTCTACTTCATATCAAATCTTCTTCTTCTATTCAATGGGGGTTTTGGGACTTTTGGATTAGAGTAGCCTGTCGTGTTGTTGGAGTATTGATCCTCGCTCTCGTTTACTGACTAAGTTAAACCCATAGCAGCTGAAGCATATCAAATGTAGTGTTCACGTGCATGCGTAACAGTTTTTAATCTTTTTCATACATGATGGATGTGTAGCTTTTCCAGTATAATGTGACGCTTCGTTCCTAACATTATTTGATCTTACTCGTCTTTGTAATTAGTATTTATAAAATAGTAATTCAGTAGTTGAAGTTAGACATTAATACTGCTGGACGCCAAGTCAGTGGTCTAGAGATTAAGCGTTCTCATCTGAAACCCTAGGTATTGGGTTCGATTTTCTCCTACGTGTTCGTTACTGTGCACTGCTAATGAGTGCCATACTAGGAAGAAATGGCCGTCTAGTGCTTCCAGGATTTTAACAGTGGTCTGATATTGACTGATTCAAGATTTCCATGTGTAAAAAAAGTAATTAAATTTCTTTGCAGTAGAGAATTCTCAACACAAATATTTCATATAGCAACTACTTCCTTTTTAATATTCACTTAGCTTTTCAAAACTTTAAGATTTTTTACAAAGTTTCGGCATGTGGGTTGTGAAAATTGATTGCACAGTATAGCAGAACAATTAGGGATGGACCTGTAGACGAAAGAATCCTGGGTTCAGTAGTTTAGATCGAGACCAAAAGTTTTAAGTTTAACTCTACGATGTGGGGTCATGAGTACATACTGTTGAGTCTCATCAGTGCAGATGGCCTGGTGACTGGCGAAATCTCAGCACGGATACAGAAAGCTCGATTGGCTTTTGCCAACTGGCGTCATTTATGGTGTAGGCGAGATGTCCGTCTGCCAACCCAAGTACGAGTCTACAGCGCAGCAGTTCGTTCTATCCTACTTTATGGCTGTGTAACATGACCAGTCAGAGCAGAAGATATTCGTAGGTTACTGGTTTTCGATCATAGGTGTCTTTGAAGCATTTCTCGTATATCGTGGGACACCCGAGTGAGCAATGCTGTTGTTAGGAAACGGAGCAGATTTTAAGAGAGCTAGGGGCGGCCAGAACAAAACATGACACAAATGCATGAAGTCACTAACAACTGGACGGAATCATGTTGGCAAATGTAGACTATCTGGTTGGGGTCCGCAAAATGATAGTAACTGATGGTTAGAGACCCTGAATGACAGGGCTCAAAACCGTTTGCGATGGCACAAGTGCATCCATTTCTTATGATCTCTCAACTGCTATTCTTCAGAATTCCTCATCTCTATCTTTCTCTTTCTGAAGTTATCTCACTGAATTATTCTTCTTAAATAATACTTGGAACCCTAATCTTCTTCATTACCAGTAATACTTCTACTATCTCTGCCACGATGGGATTTGAACTGACAGTTGCGTCTCTGTGCTAATGTAGTATGGCAGTCAACTTGAAGTGATATACGTAAGTAAGCAGTTCTAAATTGTAATTGATTGACTACTGAGGAATTTCACAAAAGGATGAAGAAGCCATCTGGTTGTCGTGAGTTTCGATTGTTACTTAACTTTGATTGGTTCATGATCTCAATCAATAACGTTAACCGCTTTTTATATCTGATCATTTTTATTCTATCATAGTGTTTGGATATTACTTACTTACTTACTTACTTACGCCTGTTACCTCCAATGGAGCATAGGCCACCCATCAGTTTTATCCAACCAACTCTGTCCTGGGCTTCCCTCTCCAGTTCTGTCCAATGTTTGTTCATTCCTCTCATATCTTTCTCTATTTCTCGGCGTAGTGTGTTCGTTGGCCTTCCTCTTTTCCTTTTGCCTTGAGGGTTCCATGTGAGGGCTTGTCTCGTGACGCAGTTAGGTGCTTTTCGTAGTGTGTGTCCTATCCACTTCCACCGCTTCTTCCTGATTTCCTCATCCACTGCAATCTGTTTTGTTCTCTCCCAAAGTAGGTTGTTGCTGATAGTGTCTGGCCAGCTAATCCGAAGTATTTATGCGTAGACAACTGTTAATAAACACTTGTATCTTCTGGATGATGCCTTTCGTAGTTCTCCAGGTTTCCGCTCCATACAGTAGAACTGTCTTGACATTTGTATTGAAAAGTATTTGGATATATATATAACGAATATCTATTATTAGAAGTAGAAAAATATCTCAGGACTATTTATCAATAATATAAATTATGATGTTTTATTTTCTATAACTACTATTTCTTAAATCCCAATCGTTTTAATTAATAGTCGTTGCATTACTTACTATTTTTTTAATCTTTTAAGGATAATTTATTCTTGTTTTGTATTCGATTAAATAATCGATTAGTAAGCGCATTGTTCATTTCAGTTGTTATTCATTTAATTTCCTGTGAAATAATGCTGTGGTAATCTTTGTAGAAATTGAACTCTAGTTCATGATTCAAAATGTTTTTAACCACTTTCACACAGAACTTGTACTATTTAGAATATCTTTAGATTTTTTTCAATGTTATTGTATTTAAGTGTTTTGAGCGAGTCAAATCTCAACAGTTTTAGTTGTGGATAAAAATCTATTTCCATATTAACTAAGATGCAGGTAGTAGGATAATGATACACGTTATTGATAATGAAATAAATGAAAATTTATTGCTTAAACCTAGTTGATTGTTACAACGAAAAGTATTCCGTTTTTTTTAATGTACACTGATTTAATAGTCTTAGGCGTTTCAAAAATATTCTATTGACGGAGATTGATGAACATCTTTTCACTAAAAATGATATTATTATTTTGCCAATTAGCCTTGCAAACTTTTTCACAACGTTAAAATTGTGTTACCATGTTTTGTAGCATCTTTTTACTCAGTAAAACGTTTGCAGACAAATGTGTGAAAGAGGAACCCTGGTATCATACTAAATACCTTGCGGTTAATATTCCTGAAAGCACGTTGTCAGTAAGTTGTTGTTGTCAACAAATATTTTAATATAATTTCCCTTTCTAATTTAATGCCTTTATACGAACGAACCTGTTGATTCCTGTATGAGAGTTGTCACATGTATACATCTACACTTCAATTTCAAGACGGTTTTTCAGTTCAACTGCCCGAAATTCCGTAGTCGTTCTATTTATGAGTTGTGATATTCCTCTCCTGTTCAGCAAGAATATTTTTCAATTGATATTCTCTTTATGATGTGCCATGCTGCCTATAATATAAGGATATGGTAGAAGAAGACTGGAAACACCTAAAACAAAGATACGTTATCATTTCTGAAAGCTACTGAATTCTAATTTATGAAGTTATTTATGATTGAAAGCAGTAAACGATGTGAATCGAAATCACTTGAAATAACTGACATAGTCAAGTCCATTTTTATCTTCCTTAAATCGTGTATTTACTCCAAATCTCTTTAATTCTAATCGGAATACATTTATTTATTATTCACTTGTTTACTTTTCATCTCGTTAATTTTCTCTGCTTCTTAATATGTTGGCATAAAACTAACTACTTGACTGAGGTGATAGTAGATTCTTCTATACCAACTAATCAACAACAACAACAACGGTTAATCTTAAAAAATCAATGTTCATCCATCAAAATCCTACTAGTTGTTGATGATCAAATGCCTAATCTTTCGGTCGAAAGAAATATTCTGAGTGAATCCTAATTCATATTTTCATCTTACTCCAACAACTAACCTATCATTTTCTTCAACACCAGTAGATTCAGTGAGATTTTTTTCTAGTTTCGATTATTTATTTATTAATTTATTATTGTCATTACTATTATTATTATTTATTATTATTATTATTATTATTATTATTATTATTATTATTACACGTTGAATACAATTCGATCATCGGTGACTTCGAAGCATTGCTCGTATATCTTGGGATACCCGGGTGAGCAACGCTGTTATTAGGAAACGGGCGTTTGGTAAGAATGGCAGATCAATAGACGCAGTAGTGACACTTTATCAGTTGAGGTGGTTGGGATATGTCTTGCGTATGCCGAACCACCGACTGCCTCGACGAGCTTTGTTTTGGAGTGTAGGAATAGGTTGGAAGAAAGTTAGGGGCGGCCAAACCAAAACATGGCAAAAATCCATGAAGTCATTGACAAGTGGACTTAGCCATGTCGGTAACTGTCGACTACCTGGTTGGGGTCCGCGAGATGATAATAATCGATGGTTAGAGACCTTGAATGACATGGCTCAAAATCGTTCGCAATGGCGCCGGTGCATTTATTCTCTGTGTTCTCTCAAATCCTAATCTTCTGGATTCTTCAAACCCTCTAGTTTTGACTTCCTGAACTTATCTCACTGAATCATACTTCTTAAATAATATCTTCTAATCCTAACCTCTCCGATTACTTCTAATACCTTTACTACCTCTTTTACTATTGGATTTGAATTGACAATTACATCTCTGTGCTGATGTGGTATGGCGACATGAACTGATGTTCTACGTTGCATCTGACTGACTGAATACAGTTATGAATACTTTGTATAAAATGTTCCTTTAGTGCATCACAAGAGATTTATGTACGTAAAATAACCGTATAAATTTTTCTATAAAATTAAGTACTATTTCATGATAGAAAGTAGAATCTGAACAAAATGTCATTTACCTTCTCATCCAGTCGTGTAAGATTAGTATATGCTCACATATTTGTTTCAGACTGTTTTCTTACCTTTATGTTTGTGGATGCTGGTGTAACGTCTTGTAGCGCCTCACATATATTTTGTATGTGAGCATATACGCTTGGGCATTACTTACCACCTACACACTAGCTTTATCGATTAACAGTTTAAATAATTCGATGGCAATATCGGCTATATACATGTTTGAATTAAATCCGATATTTGTATCGATCATTAAATATTTGGAATAATAAAGAAATTATGCCAACGACTCGTGTTCTATAATAGCGGTTATCAAGACGGAGATACACGAAATGTAGAAGAGAAAGATAATCCACCGCCACTGTAGTCTTCATCAATTCAGTGGCTTGGGATTTAGTCTGTGCTACCTCAAAACTGGCTGATTATTCTCAGGACTATGTTATTTTAGTCTGTTTCCTCCATATAGATTTGTTGGTGAATAGGCCTTGATGGTGGTCTTTCAGTGTTTGGCTACTGGTTTTTGTAGTTGCCTTTGTTTTCCATATACTTTTATTCAGTCCGCTTGTTGTTTCGTTTCTTTTGTTGACTTCTTTTGGCTTTCCGATGTCATTTCAGTTGAATCCTTTTGGCTCGCTGAGCCACATCTTTCTTATTTGTGCTCTTCTGATTTCCTCTTTATCCTAGTAGATTGGTAGACTTCACCATATATTTTTGGCTGATATTATTGTGGCTTACTTGAAAATTACAGTTGCAATTTCCAGCATGGTTTGTTCATTTTATTTTAAATTCAGGTTCCATTTCAGATTATCAGTTATTTTATGTGATAAGTTGATATATATAGGGATATGATTTTTGTTCTACTCTTCATGTGAGGCCTATGGTGATTTTTACTCCTTTTCTTGTTCATTCTAGCAGTAGCTAATTCTAAATGGTGGTCATTGTTTGTGGACTTCATAGGTTCGGAGTTTCGCTTTGCGCCTAGTTAGTACCAGATCTATTATTCGGCCTAATTAGGCTCCAGCAAGGTATATCCAGGTGTTGAGCCTGGTGTGATCTCCAAGTTGTTGTTATTAAAAAGTTCCATGACTCCCATTCCATAAGGTTGAGTTTCTGTTCCAGTGTCCAGGATCTTTCCTATAAGGCGGAGATAGGTGTCATTTAGGTTTCTGCTGAGACTATATTTGAGGTTGCCGAATGTCACAAATGCGATTTCCTCTTCTTGTAACCTTCAAATCGTGCTAAACAAAATTGCATAAAAATTCTTTTTTTCATCAGTCAAACATTCTGTGAGTGCATTGTGATCGATTAAGCTGTATTTCAGTTCAAATTGGTTTTGAATTTCTAATCGTAGCTATCCTGTCATTTATTTCTTAGTGTAGTCAGGGATTTGAATCCAGTTGGTACATGCGATTGAATAAATCTTTCCTTTAATTTCCATATGTCATTCTTAGGCGTTTCCCGCTTGTTCGATGGTGGTAATTAAAAGTCCGACATGTTTTATTTTGTATGAATTCATTTCATACGTTTGCGTAAGAAGACAGACAATAAAGGACGTAAAAGCGAAGCAAAGTAGGCCAATGCGCCAACTTCTTGTGGTAAGCCGTGACTAATTATTTATGGTTGGACAAAAATAAGCTGGACATGTGGTGAGCAAAGTGAGCAAGGTTGTTAAACATATAAATAAAAGCAACTTAGACTATTGGTTAATAAATGATAACGTGCACTAATTGATTTGTTCAAAACTGGGCAAGACATGTGGACTCAACTTATTCGTACGTACTGCAGCAGACCCATAACTAAGATACCTTGATCTTAATTCATCACGAATCCTAGTCCAGCGTTTTATGGTCAATAAGACCGGTGTTACAGTTGTATATTGTGATGCTTTTGACTATTTAGATTATCTTTGATTGAAAATAGGTATCTTTTGGTAGTGTGATGTAATACTTCTATTCAGTCAGTTGGCTTGATACCTGATAATTTTTCCAGTCTTGTCAGCATCCCCGGACGTTCTGTAAGCCATGTCTAAATTTATTTTGTCTTATTTGTTTTGCTTATCCGGATATCTATCATCACCGAATCAGGCAGAGCATTCTACCAAAGTAAAAATAAATAATGACAGAGAATGCAAAGCGGAAATAATTGACCACCGAAAGCAAATACACGCATCCCAAACTTGGCTGCTACATTGACGTGGTGGTCGGGCTTGCCTATCGTGGAGAACCGACCAAGCTGTATTGGCTGGAACATATATTCCTGAAGGTTCTACCATGCCAGGCAGATCGATTGCAGAACGATGAGACTAAAAGCAGCTATTCAAGGTCTGAGGGCGAAGTCGTACTGCTAACTGCAGAGGGTTGTGACAGTAGTAAGGTGTTTCCCTCGGACAACCAGCATCTGCAGCGATACTGCCTTCTCACAAGGAAGGAAGGGTTAGAAAATGTCGACCCTAAAAATGTCACACCTCCCCTAACTCACGGATTTCCGTCTCCGTCGGTAAGGGTGCCCACTAGGAACTTTTAAGAGCGGAGCTAATACTCAAGAAACCTTTGGCCGTGCGTGACCGGCCTCAAGCAGTTGTTCTTTGGGCTCTGCGGTCACGCTCCCAGGTCTCTAAGACCGACGATAATCTACTTTCTTTTTCAGGTCCCTCAAGAAACAACCTTCCATGGTGTACGTAGCTAAGAAGTGACAACCGCCCTCGTACTCGTAACAACAAGCGAGACCAAATTGGTCCAAATCAAATCCTTCCTACACTCCCTAGAATCTCTCTTTTCTCCACGACTAACTTTACAAACATTCCCTTATCTTACTGCACCGCTAATGCAAACGATGGGAGTTCACGAAAAGTTATTCCTAGTCTCCTGAAACCACGTTCTAGACTACATGTTGGAGCTTTAACTAGGCAACAGGCTTCCTTAGCAAGGACATTAGAATCTCACTCAATCGATGTATGCTGCGTCTCGGAAACGCGCATGAAGGATCCTAGTAAAGTCATTAATTTGATTTCACCTTGTCAAAATAAAGAAGCAACTCGATTTACTCTTAGTGTATCCGGTAGACCTGATGCTGCTTCGCGAGGTATCGCCGGCGTAGGTATAGCATTGAGTCTCAGGGCAGCTCTCCTTTACTGGATCCCAGTAGATAGTTGCTTGTGCCACTGTCCGACTGAACGGGACAGCAAGGACTCGTAAGGATAGGGACACTCGCCGTTGCCTCTTCGTCATATCTGCCTACGCCCCCAATGACTGCAGTTCAGACGAAGTGAAAGATAAGTTGTACAGGAAGCGTTCAGACCTCTTCCGAAACGGTAGGCTCTCTGATATAGTAGTAGTGGCTGGTGACTTTAATGCTCAATCAGGTAGACTCAGTGAAAACGAAAGACACCTGGGTGGATCTTATGGTGTCGCGGCTCAGAGAACAGACAGTAGCGACCGTCTGTTGCAACTGTATTCAGATAACCGCCTATTCTTAGCAAACACAAACTTTAGGCATAAGGCAAAGCATCTGTTGACCTGGCGACCTCCGAAGTTGTCTCATCTTGCACCGAGGGAGCGGTGCAAGATGTTGCTTCAGGATTGGGTTGCTTCGGTACATGAACTAGTGATGGAAAGTGAAGTAATTGTTATAATGCTGCTATATAGCTATTCAAAATCCTATCGATTGACTAAATTCAGGTATTCCAATACGACCTCAAATACTGTTCTCAAATCTCCAGTATATCACAATACAACACAGGTGAAGTCTTTAATGGAGTCGAGTACAGAAGGGATGAAGGAAGGAATAAAAAGCTTTACATATAATTCATATTTATACATTAGGTCGAATGGGAAACAACACTGAAGTCTGGACATTGACTGTGAGGACGACCATAATGTTAACGAGTAGTAATTGACCAATATAATTTAACTTCCAAAAATAATTCTCTTAGGATATTTGATGAATATCCTAACAGTAGCTGAGCTTGTAGACCACTTCATTTACCTCGTAACATTCATCACTGCTGATGGCCTGGTATGTGACGAAATCTTAGCACGGATACAGAAGTCTAAATCGGCTTTTGCCCCTTGTCGTCACCTATGGGGCAGGCGAGCTATTCGTTTCCTAACCAAAGAACGAGTGTACTGTGTAGCAGTTCACTCTGTCCTGCTACATGAATGAGAAACATGGCCGGGGAGAGTTGAGTCCATTCGTAGGCTATTATTATTCGATGAAACCTTGTCAGTTGATTTGATTGAGATATGTATTAAGTATGCCTAACCACTGACTGCCCCGACGAGCTATGTTTTGTGGTGTGGGAGTAGGTTGGAAGAAAGTTAGGGGTGGCTAAACCAAAACATGGTAGAAATCGATGAAATTACTGACAAGTGGACTGAGTCATATTGGTAGATGTAGACTACCGCTATGGGTCTGTGTGTTGATTCAGTACTGAACTGATGTACGTACGTACGAAGTCCTACGATGTAGCCGACTGACCGATCTTAGCATACACGTATGCATAAACACAAACTGCAGTCAAATGATCGAAATTACAAAAGAACTGAACACATATCTAAGAAACGATAGCCTGACAACTCAGAAGACCACAGAAACAGAAGTATACAAATCCTCGATGGCAGACTGCTCGAAATCAGATGAAAACCAGTTGGTTGAATGGGCACATTAAATCCTTCCACCCATAATATAGTCAGTCTCTAACAAAAACAGAAATCCTAACGATTTCTGAACCGAAAACTTCCCTACCGATAGTGACAACTGATACATAATCAATGCAGTTGAAAAAAACAAAATACCATTAGTCTACATAAATACCCATATGCTGATTGTACAAAAACTTTGCCGATAAAAACGGCCTTACAAACCATTGTTACGTGATACGCGAATGGTTGGCAATAATCTGAAAAGAATTAAGACCATCAAAAACCAAATAAGCTAGTGCGCTCCGGTAAATGTGTCACATTCTAGAGAGTGTCTTCAGAAAAGCCAATCAGCTTTACACACCTTAGCAGCTGGAGAACAGGCAATAGGAAATAAGAGCCAATCATGTGTCCGAAATCTGATTGACTCACTAAAGCGTCTAACTGGCAACCAACTAACTACATGTACGTTCACATGTCCACTGACTTACGTTTTATCACTTCTCCATTAATTTCGCATAAAAATTTAAAGATTGAGACAAGTTTCCAAATATTTATGTGCTTACTTCAACGCTCCTGATTTTGTATTCCCAGTAATTTTTATTATTTTCCATAGGCATGGCGAAATTGTTCTACTAATCCAGAATTAAGATTTCCGGAGCCAAATCCATTCATTGCTACTGAATTTGATTTAGTTCCCAACAAGTCCCCCAGTAGAACTGAGATACCGGAGTTGTTAGTCGAAACGGAGATTTCTCGAATTTGGTACCTTCATGATACAGAATACAATCTTCCCAAAGGTTTTATCAAATTTCATATTATCAAGTAAGACTTTTTCATTTCTATTCACAAACATTGGTGATTACTTAGCTGAATGAGAGGATGTTTTTAATGTTTTTCCGTTGTAACTTTCTCACGATACAAATACTGCCTGCAGCCCATCTGGGGCTACTGCCGGTCCCAAGCCCGGATAAAGGAGGAGGGTTGGGCATAAGCTTTGTGACCACATCACATAGAAAACTAACACGCTAACAAGAAAAATCAATTCAAACCATTTAAACACTTCCCTGGGAGTCAGAAGGTCTTCAATAAAAAGAGTTATGGCGTCTCATGATGAAAGCCGAGTCTCTTCGAAAGTCACGAAGCCGGCGGCCCTTCTGACAACCAGAGCAACCATTCTCTTAGCTACATGAATGTTCGAACATTGTGGGAGACTGGAATACTGTTCCGAATTGCTGCAGAAATGAAAAGATACAACGTGAAGATGCTTGGGATCAGTGAAATGCATCAGACACAGGTAGGACAACTGAGACTAGCTTCAGGGGAACTGCTGTTATACTCTGGTCATGAAGAGGAAAACGCTTCACGTACACAAGGAGTTGCACTGATGCTGTCCAAACATGCACAAAAGGCACTGATAGGATGGGAATCTCATGGACCTAGGATCATTAAAGCATCCTTCAAAACAAAGTTAGAGGACATTACAATCAGCGTAATCCAATGTTATGCACCTATCATTGACTACAATGACGACGATAAAGATCAATTCTACGAAAGGCTGCAGTCAATCGTCGAGAAACGTTCACCAAAGGATTTGACGATTCTTATGGGAGACCTAAATGTCAAGGTCAGCATGGACAACACTGGATATGAAGACATCATGGGACGACATGGACTGAGAGAAAGGAACGACAACGGTGAGAGATTTGCAAACCTATGTGCCTTCAACAAACTGGTCATCGGTGGCACAATATTCCCGCACAAACGCATACACTAAGCTGCATGGATTTCACGAGACCACACTACTCAGCACCAAATCGACCATATCTGCACCAACAATAGAGGACGTGAGAATCAAGAGGCGAGCTGACATAGCCTCATATCACCACTTGATGCTCATCCAAATGAAACTGAAACTCAAGAGGCGCTGGACGATGGGGCGGATGACATCAAAAAGTTTAATACGGCCTTTCTTCGGGACACTGGAAAGCTCAACGGGTTCCAGTCTTTACACGATCTACTCAATGGAGATGAAACAGCCATGGAGAACATTTGGAAAAAGATCAAGGAGGCAATGACTTCAACATGTTACAAGCTTCTAGACCACAGGAAGTACCATCGCAAGGATTGGATCTCTGTTGGTACTCTTGAAAAAATTGAAGAAAGGTGGAACAAGAGGACAGCAATCAATGTCAGCCGAACAAGATCAGAGAACGTCAAGGCACAAGTTGAATACACAGAAGCAAACAAACAATTGAAGAGGAGTGTCAGAGCCAACAAACGTAAATATGTGGAAGATGTGGCAATAACGGCCGAAAAGGTTGCAAGAGACGGAAACTTAAGACATTTGCACGATACAACAAAGAAGCTCACTGTAAAATATCGTAAAACAGAACGACCAGTGAGAAGCAAGGAAGGCAAAATAATCACCAACTTTGAAGAACAGCGAAACAGGTGGGTAGAGCACTTTGAAGAACTCTTGAACCGAACAGCTCCACTAAATATACCCAAAATCGAATCAGCATTCACGGACGTCCTAATCAATGTTGGCCCACCAACAATGGAACTGTATGGTGAGGAAAGTTGGAGAACTACAAGAGCCATTATCCGGAGGATACAAGTTATCCTTAACAATTGTCTACGCAAAATACTTCAGATTCGTTGGCCAGACATCATCAGCATCAACCTATTGTGGGATAGAACAAACCATATTCCAGCGGAGGAGGAAATCAGGAAGAAGCGCTGGAAGTGGATAGGACACACACTGCGGAAAGCACCCAAGTGCGCCACAAGACAAGCTATTACTTGGAACCCTCAAGGTCGAAGGAAAATAGGAAGGTCAAGGGAAACATTTCGCCAAGAGATGGAGACAGATATGAGAAGAATGAACAGAAATTAGACAGAACGTGAAAGAAAATCCCAGGATGGAGTAGGTTGTAGAATACTGGTCGGCGACCTATGCTTCATTGGGGGTAACCGGCCTAAGTAAGTTAATAACTTTTCACTATAAAATATTTGTTATTTCGTTGTTTCAGTTAACAGTATTAACTTTTCTAGTACAACTTACTTAGTCTAGTGAATTCATTTGGTTGAATTTCACTTATCTTACTATTATTAGAAAAGTAGTTGATTATACTATTTAACCATAGTTTTAATTAAACAGTATAAAACTAGACATTGAAAATATCCATACATTGATCGTATTTCTCATTCATTACATTGTACTACTTGAGAAATATTTTACAATTACTGTTTTTTTTCTGTTTTCCATTATAGTATGTCAACATATTTTAGTCCTTTACATGAAACACTTTGTGCTTTATATGTAAGCTTGCTTTGGGATCAAATTAACGAACTCAATTACTTTGGTAAGCTTGCTGATATGACAGTTCATGTGGGATATACTAGTAGAGGTATCACGGTATGTAACACAAAGGTTTAAAATTAATTTGATTAAATATGAATAACTATTGTATATACGTACGTGTGCATGTTGTTTCATATTTTTAGAAATAAATTTCACTATTGATCTTAATTACATAACTTTGAACATATTTTGTGTCACTGTAATCATCATATTTTGATATGAGTTGGGAATTTAAAAATTTCTATAAGAACTTTTTTATAACGATTTTAACGATTGTTTGTTTCATTCACCATTTTGTAATTATTTTATTACTAATAATTAACGAAAAATTTAATTGAATTTAGTATTTATCTTGTAAAATATATAAACATTTCTATAGTGTAAGCGATTAATAATGATAAATAATTGTTAAATAATATATTCAAAATCTATTTTTTAATTAACTGTAGATTTCTTCCTGTTCACTTTGCTTATCGGAACTTTTTCACTAAGCTTATGTATCAAAATGTTAAGCCGAAATGTATTTAAAAAAAGAATTGTGTTTGTCTACAATAATTTTATCAAGTGTAATTTCAGTACTGGTTCGATGTCTGCTCATATTTAAAATTAGTCTGATGTTTTTAATGCGGTCTTTTGATTTTTCTTTTGATTATACATTCAATGAATATAAGCTGATAAATGCGCAAAGATGTCTATTCTGTAACCAGATTTATGTTAACACTAACTTCATAATTCATGTTTATTAAAAGATTAGTTGTCTGGATTTGAAAAAAAAGACGTTTGATTTGTGTTTCATTAAGTAATTGTTGAAATGAATTAAAACGTTTTTATAGATATTATCTTAAAGGTAAGGAAACTTCTTTATAAATAAATACATACTATGGTGCCCACTACTTATAAGTAGTATATGACGCGAGTGTAAACGTAATGTCTGGCAGCAGAAGATGGGGGAAGATCAAGAAAGGAAGAAGAGTGGAAACACAATGGAATTTGTATGAAACGCATGAATAGTGACAATGTCAGACAATGGATTGATGATGGATTAAAGATTTGAAAATTAACCGTTTACGATATGGTTTTCCTATTTTACTGAGTAACTGTAATTTTCGTTAAATACAATTCGGTTGCCCTCACCTGTGTTCTCCTTCACTACAATACTACACCATATGGTCTGCATATTAAAAAAATACAAAACACAACATATATTGACGAAACTAACGTTTAAATACTCAATCAACTATGTTATTAAGGTTACTTCTTCAGTAAGATGAATAAAACCGAGGCCAGTTTTTCATCAGTACTTTGTAACTTGGTTTTATCTATGAATCAATATAAGTCGGACTACTACTGGAAACCTAAGAGGACTAAACGGCCGTTTCATACAAGTATTAGACTCCTTAGCAGAGCCCATTCACGACCCTACACACTCATAATCGAACCCAAGGACATCGGTGTCGCGCGTGAACGCCTAAATTCTAGACTACTGAACACGCTGTTTTCCTAGATGACTTTCAGGTTATGTGATTTCTCATCGCTTTTGCTTGTAGATAGAATTGATCTCTTCGGTTATACTTTGGTTTGCCTATCCAGACATTTTAATGCTGCCCCCTGACTGGAAAAATTCATTAAGTTATATTCATTAACTGAATTAGTATGTGTCTTTCACAATATCCTCAATTGTGATTTATTTTTATTTTCTAGCTTTCGTTTTCAGGATTTACCCATAAATTAAAAAGTTTTGTCAAAGAAGTTGTAACTCAACTTGTCAATTATTCTAAACCAAAAACTGATCGTTTCCAGTTTAATCTTGAGAACATTTCTCAAAATATTAACAATTTTTCAACGAAACCGGCTGATCAGCAAGCCTGTACATATTTAACAAATATTACTTTAGATCATTCTTGGATTAATGATGATTTTATTCAAGCTGTAAAAGGTGAATGGTATTTTTTTTTGTCTTTTGAATGTTGTTTCATTTAAACAAAGGACTTAACCTTTTGGACGAATATTCCATTCATTTCATGTTAGCCTGCCGTACAGAGACGTACACAAAGAAAAGGAGAATAATTAGGATACTCTTAATACCTTTTATACTTAAACGTATAGAATATGATCACAGACATTACTAGTTCTGTTATGTCTAAACAAAAGTTGTTTATTTGTCGGATGTAAGCAATTTAAAATGTTAGTATTATTCCTGTTTCATTAGCTAAGAATTTTACATAAACAGATTGCCGCAAAGTATTTCATCTCTTCAAATTATAAATAATTACAGCTTTCTTTGTGAAAGGAAAAAATTCCAGCCATAATAAAATATCCATTAATTTTCAGCTTTATTTGCACACCTTAATTAAACATTTCACCAACTTGATATTCCAATTAGTTGAACACTAAAAATTATTCATCCGTTTTAGAAGCTCTCCTATCGATTAGCGAGACGATTATAGAACTGATTTATTCGAGTATACCGGTTAATTTAATGACGAGTAGAAATTGACCAACTCCTTAACGTATTTCACGATATTATCCAGTTTCCCGCGCCTATTAGCACTGCCCACTTCATTGTTTCACGATTTATAAACAGTGCTTTAAAAAACCGTTGTAACCGAATGCAAGTTGCTTACGAATTTTCTAAGCATTGAATGCCGAAGTTTCATAGCCATTAAGTAAAATGAATCTAATAATTGTACAGTTTACTCATCCTTTGGTTAACAGATGTAAATGGCAAAAGCCACTGCCCCACTAAGATTGATTAGACTTCTAAGTTAGGTTGGCAGGCCAATGTGCCAAATTTCATTATCTCCTATCGTTATTCAAAGCTTTGATATAGACCAGTCTTCAAATAATACTTTACATGTTGAGAGAGAGTAGCACATCTGAAAACAAGTTTATGTTTTAATTCAGCTAGAGCACAAGACTCTTGGAGTTTGCTTAATTTGAATTTTGTTAACTTCTGTACTACAATTTGGCTTCATCTCGATTCGATTTTGTAAAGAAACTACTTTTAGATGAGAAAATCAGATAGGAATTAACCACAGCTTACAGTTATCTACTGAATAATGGTCTTCCCTAAAATTACACCATAATGTAGAATAAACATTACGCGAACTGATAAATCTGTTATTGTAAGGCTTTATCTCAAAGTGGGTTACATAGCTGGAATGATTGATTTTAGTTAGTGCTCCCTATATCGAAAAAAAAATTCTCCCGTTCAGACAGTCGTACGTCGTAGATGAAAGATTACCGGAAATAACGTTTGACAGCTTCCATTTAAATCCACAAGCTCAAATATTCCAAAAACAGGAAGGAGCGTTTCTGTTGTTATATCCGAGTACATCTTATCGTATTTGTGAGCAATGGGTCATGTTTTTTAATAATTCAATTGTTCACTATCGAAAGGATAGTGATATATATATATTAGTTCACAATATGGACATTTTTAATACATTGGTATTTATTAATTAATGCTCTTATTTCTAAATTATAAACACCTGAAGAGAATCTGCGAAATCAATCACTTCATATTATATTTTTTTGTGATTATTACTTTTATTTTGGAAAAATTTTAAAAACAAACCGTAAGTATGTAAAAAACCGAAATTCTATTCTCTGTCTCATTATGAAATTGATTGCATTCATCATACACCATCACCTCATAACGATTCTCATTTGATATTAAGTCTATTTTGACATTGAAAAATAACTAACTTGCCTTGAACTGAGGTCTATTCATCAGTTTTTAAATTAATGTCGTTAAAAGAGTGATTCGGTGTTGCATTACCTAATAACTAATGTTGGTTTTGAATGACAACATATGTATCGTGTATTCGGAATATTCAAAGCAGTTGTGTTTTGATTTCGTTCCTCAAATATAGATTCGTTTACGATGTTTGTAAATACATTCTGAAGAATACTTAATCTTTACTGCAAAAATGAGAAGTGCGAAGACGTGACCAGTGGAGTTCAGCACTGTCGGATGTACGCAGTAACTACCAAAAACAAATGGCTGAGGTCGCGCAAAATCTCTAGATCAATCACAGTTAGACATTAACACCGTCGGATGCCGGCCCAGTGGTCCAGAGGTTAGGTGTTCGCGAGCAAGACAGAAGGTTCTGGGTTCGAACCTTATGACGTGCAGGACTCGTGGATGAGTATTGCTGATGAGTCGCATACCAGGACGAAACGGCCGTCCAGTGCTTCCATGTTTTTTAATGGTGGTCTAACAATGATTGATTGATGATCTCAATGAGTGAAATTATTTCACCAATCCATGATTGCAATTTATCAAATCTATTGCTCTAAGTAATTCAATGACTCCTTCATTCTTCATTCCAGATATAACTTATGACAAGTTAGTCAGTCATATAAAACAGTTATATGGATGCATTTTTATTGAAGGCCTTATATATGGAAGTATCACTGAGGAGGTAAGCATGTAAGCAATGTAGTTGATATCTTTAGGAGTTAGTTTGGGAAAGAAACTGTGATCATGTTTTCTTTGTAGAAGATCGTTTCATTGTCATCGATATAAAATGCAATTAGTTGTATGCAGAATAAAATAAACATTATAATCAGGCTTTTATTTTCAACTTCAGTAATTCAGTAATTTACGACGGTAAGAAAGAGACTATTAGAGGGCACTAGAACTATTCGAATCAGTTTGCTCGTTTTATAAGTTATAGTCGATCATAGTCAATATGGAGCCTAGGACTTGAAGTTAACTGCCCATATCATATTGTCACGATGAGATGACACGAACAGCAAGAATCGGAAAAGCGATAACAAGAAAGACTAAGTAACCATCAAGCAGATGGAACAAAGAACGCATTTTTGATGAAATATAGAAACACAAGATCTACAGGAAAATAAACGGTGATGACATGTGATCTGTGCTGATCGATTCTAAGATATGTAGCACAACGTTCCTGAGGTTTGATCGGGGTTATCGCGCGAAATGCATACAAGAATTTCGGGTCTGTCAGCGTAATTTATTACAACAGTTAATGATTTTGTAAACTGAGACCACGTAACCCACACACTAAGAAAGTTACACTACAAGGCTTTCATTGTTAACTTTTCACAGCAGAAGACTGCAAAACGATTGCGGCTGATTTGAATTAATTAATTAATTGGCCACATTCATAGTATCATTGCATCAATACATATTGATGTAACCATCATTAGTCTACAAAAGACAATTGGATCTTTATAAGCTGGTTCGAGTTCATAAGCAAAACGCATTCTGTCAATGTAATTCACTGTTTCACAAATTCTCCACATATCAGAAATCTGTCTCTACTATGAAATAAATGATATTACCACACTATAGAAGATATATCCAATAATTAGACATTCTCATTTCGAGAACTCTTTTTATGCCAGTACACTGAGTATGTTTATTCACAGAAGTAATCTATACTACTAACATAGCTAGCCTAAAATCAGATGTTACCGTTCATATAGAACGATGCTGTATCATATATTTAAACAACAAACACTTACTGAGATTTACAGACCTTTGAACTATTTTATCATATGAAATACAGAGTATATGTCGTATAGATTTACTAATCACCACCTAACTGAGTTCACATTGGATATATTATATCATGAAATCCATCCACTGAAGTAGATATCAGTCTGTATATTGATCACTGATTAAATTTTCTATTCCATGCTGTTAATTTTTGTAGTTAGGTTATCGGTCACAGAAACTGATCGTAAACTTTCGGATATAATTTATTGACCACATCACTCACGAAATAATTTTAATAATCGTTTTAACTACTGAAATCTTTTTAAAGTAGTTATACTAACCCTTTCGAATTTTTCGTCTACAGGATGCAATAAATTATTATGAAATGGTTCGAGATTTGTTAATAAACAATTTTGGTTCTAAACCACTTTTACAGTCCCAAGTCAAAACACCTCGAGAAGTTGTAATGCCTGAAGGTAAACACTTATTTATTCATTATTTCTTTTCTTTTAGAAACTTGGTTGATGATTTAATTTTGACTAAAATATTTCCCATAAATTATTATCCTACTTTTTTTGTAATTTAGTTTATTTAGCGAATTACTCAAAAGTAATGATCTAAAACAGTTTGATGTCACTTCATGACTAGCAAATGAAATCGCAAAGTAATACTAGTTTAGTATTGAAATTATCTTTAGCCATTGTTCATATGCAATCGTTAAGTTTATCACAAGTTGTTATGGACGTTAGATCCACAGAAATCACTTGATTAATGTCCTAATTTTGGATTTTATGCTTTCGAACATGGGCTGATCAGCTGACCTTGGGAAAATCCTTGGCTGTGATTGGTTGATGTAGTATTTTCGTGCGCTATTTTTATGGCTCTCCCAAGGACGTTTCTATCATTTATAAATTTACTCGATTTGTGTGCTTGTCGACCTCATGTTTTCTGGGTGCTTATAGATTAAACTTTCTACGCCATATCAAGACTTCTTCCTTTACTTAGTGGGACCTTGGGACTATCAGATTAGAGTAGCCTATCGTGTTACTGGATCATTTGTCTTTCACTTTCGTTTACAGACTAAGGTGAACTCTTAATAGTTTCAAGCATATCAATTGACGAGCATAACAGATGTTTACTAGTAAACCTCAACACACCCAAGTTTCTTGATTTCATTAAATAGATAGCTTAATATTATTTACTGTTAACTATGTCAGACTGTGCACGTTTTGTTGACAAATGACAGTACTGCATTATGCATATTCTGACAACAGTTAAAAAAAGTCACACAAAACTACGGAAATAATCATGTCTATACAAAGGCACATCATTTGAAAATATATGATTCATAATTTATTTGAACTGAATATTTGTGACTGTGTTACCAGTAATTTGAAGCATAAGAAACAAAAAAAATGCTCAATGAGAGATGAGATTATTTGTGGATTCGGTATCGTTTCCATACTACAAACTGTAATTGTCGTAAATCTTCTAAGCATAAGTAGTGTACAAGAAAGTTGTAGTTTCCAGATCAACTCGTAAGTGAAACTTAAAGTCATTAGCAACAAAAAAGTTATTTTATTTATTTCAGCTAATTGTCATCCTAATCACTTTGAGCAGATTATTGACTAATGAACAAATCCAGTATTCAAAAAGACTGAACTTTTAAACTGTAGTGATTTCTAAACTTCTGACTCAAGCAATCTTCATGTTATATAAATCTGAGTCATTTAGATTGATAAGAAATCTGATTATTCAAAGATAATTTTTACTAAAATCTTTGACACAATATTATCTTAAAGTAAATTATAAGAGATAAATTTTAAACTGAATCGTGCAAATATGTGTAGAATACCATCGCATGATTATTATAACCATTGGTTTGGGAACTATTGTATGTTATAGATCTTTGTCTTTTACAATACATCTAAATTATCCTGTGTCTTGCTTTTTAAATCAACTTGTCCATCTTTAATGCTTTCTGCAATCATTGACACTAATTTTACTAATTGGTAATTGTATTTAGGAATATTAAATATTCTCATTGTGAAAATTAGAACAACATTTAATAAGCGAACAATATTGTTGTTTTCGATTAGATCGTTGTCAGGTTTTACACTCTAATATACATGAATATTTATATGAAAATGTTAAACTAATCAGGGCAATTTGAGTCATTAATTACAAAGAAATGAAATAGTGATAACGTCACCGCACATAATAGGCAAAAGTACAAGTTGATAGTAGGATGAAAGGTGTACTGATAGTAGTAAGAAAAATAAAATACAATAAATAATGATTTTTCAATAGTAGGTTAAACGTGGATAAATAGACTTAAAATAATCATTACAAAACCTTAAACCATTACGTAATAGGAATTGTGTACATAATAAGATAATGATGAATTTAAATGGAAGGAGGTAGAAAATTACCAACAAATACAGGATGTGAAAATAATGCTAACAATAACAAAACAAAATTTAAAAAAAAATTTAAACGTTAGTTAAGTGATATTCGGCCACGGAAGAGATAGGAGTGTCACGAATTTCTTCTGAAAACACAAACTGGGGTTGAATGTACGAATTCCAATGGCTTCTGCTATGTGTTAGAGACGGGATCGAACTCCGTTGAGAAATGATGGAAGTATACGATGGATCACCCGAAAAGATCTAGACTTATCTACAATACAACCGCTATCAACCGCATGTGCTAAGATAGAACTGCGTATTGTTTTTAGCTGGCCCTTCATAAACCATGCTGGGAGATGTTCACTCATTCGTTGGTCGTGTTGCCTGGTAGTACGCTCGATATAGCTATCTCCACAGGAGCGACTGAATTTGATTTAGGTTATCCGAGTTATGTACGTGATTTATTTTGTCAATTATTCTCGTTCTGATTGCTTTTTTTTCTTTTTTAATTCAGGTTCCAGTTATCTTTATCGAAGGTATATTTCTGGTCAAACAAACTCTGGGATTTATTATTACCTTCAGTGTGGTGAACAATCGATGCTTAACGATACATTGCTTCATTTGTTCTATCAGATTGTAAGAGAACCTGCTTTTCATAAATTATATACAGAACAACAATTAGGTGAGAATTATTGAGCCATGAAACGTAATAAGTATACATACAATCGAATTACAAGAGACAATAAAGCTATCTTGATTCACGAGTAGTTTTCACTTATCTAAGACAACAGACAACTAATAGGAATAATCGCCTTTGGTGACTAGTGCATACTTGTTTAGATTTCAACGTTTTAGTGTGACACAGAGTTTTATAACAAACACTAGTTGGCCATATTTTCAGCTTACTTCCTTTAAATTCAAGTTGATACGGTGTAAATTGGTGTTTAGAGGAAGTTGACCACGTCTTACCCCTATCTTACATCTCACCTAAAACAGTGGCCACAGTGCACCTTGATTTATGGAATACGTTCAACACTATGAAGGACTTGAAATACCTGTCATACTTCACTATTCAGTGATCAGTTAATTGTAAGTTGGTCTGGTACTTTTGTGCCTCCTGCGCCAACGAATTATTTGAGGATGTTTAAAGAGCAGTAATAATAAAGTGCTTTTAATCACATCAATTCAGTTTTTTAATCTTTTCACTAATCTGTCTTGTGGCGTATATGATCATGTGAGAGTATAGTACTTCGTGGTTTTAAGTGGTCCAATATCTAATGTTAACTTTTATTATGGTAATAATGTGTCATGTGAAGGTGTGTATTTTGTTTAAGTGTTTTATACCAGGATTATTGCTGAGTATTTCTTTTGTAACCTGTCAACCTCTGACATTATTTCTGTATAATTTTGTCATACCGTTTTACACATTAGACAGCTTACATGTATTACATATCAACTTCGTGATCAAATAGAAGTACTACAATTACTATTAAATTACAATATTTCAATCTTTATTAACGAAGATGCATTTTATAGACATTAAATAAAAATTTTGGCATAGACTAAAGTTTTTGTATTGAATTCAGGATTTGATACATCTCCTTAGATGTATTTCTGAGTTGTCTTTTTTCTAATTTAGTACATAATAAAAAAAAGTAGTTAATTAGTCAAATATTAGCTTGCAATTAAAGAAATGTGAACATCATATAAACCTAGTGCTTGTAATGAAACATCAAGATATAAGTGTACTCTCAGTGTATTTCATTATACAACCTGATAGGAAAATCGTACAATTCGCATATTTCAAAATAACTGATTTCGTAAAGCATATGTTATATGTCATGAACATTTACCTTACATTTTAAATAATCTTTAATTTACCATTCTATTCACATTTAATTCTTCTGTATTTGTACATTCAAATTAAAGGTTCTATTGTACAAGCTGGAATCCGACGATCCAATAAACTACAAGGTTTTCGTATTTTAGTACAATCAACTTATCATCCTAATCAGGTTGAGAAATCAATCGAAGAATTTCTACTCAATGTAAATGTGAGTGCTACTAATTGTTTTCTCTCAGTATTAAAGTATTTATGAGAGGATTTTTGTCCCACTGTGTTAATTTACTCACTTATGCCACATAAAAAGTATAATTTCTGCCATATGATAAACTATATACATATATACTGATTTCTAGATTCACTTTACTCATTTTCTCTGATATACTGCTATTTTAGAAATTGTTAGAAGATATTTCTGACGAAGAATTCAATGTTCATGTACAATCTCTCTTGACACATTTATTAGAAAAGCCTAGAGGTATGCAAGATCGATTTGAAAGTTTATGGTCTGAAATTGCTCGTCGACATTATAATTTCAAACGGAGTAAGTTTATTCCAATGATATCATCAATAAGTTTTTGTTAAATAATCCTTAAACACCTAGTTTTATTATATAAAGCTTACTGAATAATTGTTATTTCGATATTATCAAAGATATTCACTCGAACAAAAGACATGGCAGAAATGTATGAAGTCACTGACGAGTGGACTTAACCATGTCGGTAATTGTCGACTACCTGGCTGGGGTCCGCGAGATGATAATAATCGATGGTTAGAGACCTTGAATGACATGGCTCAAAATCGTTCGCAATTGCGCTGGTGCATTTATTCTTTGTGTTCTCTCAAATCCTAATCTTCTGGATTCTTCAAACCCTCTAGTTTTGACTTCCTGAACTTATCTCACTGAATCATACTTCTTAAATAATATCTTCTAATCCTAACCTCTCCGATTACTTCTAATACCTTTACTACCTCTACTACTATTGGATTTGAATTGACAATTATATCTCTGTGCTGATGTGGTATGGCAACATGAACTGATGTACTTATGTACGAAGTTCTACGTTGCATCTGACTGACTGACTGAACAGTGCATACATTTTCATAATTAGTTAGTAAGCATATCAGCATTCGTGAGACAACTTATAAAAATAAAACTATATATATATATATATATATATATATATATATATATATATATATATTGAGTGAACAAATATTTGAACATATAAAATAGATCAACACTTAGAACAAAGCTTTCTTCATTTTGGTGATTGATTCTTTTCCCTTTTTTTATTAGTACAAAATAATTCGAATGATTCCTAATTGACTGAGTTTAAATACTTTTTACAAGTTTTGTTGTATTATAATCATTCTGTAGAGATAGATCACTAACACACATTCTGTTAATGTTTTTGTGAATCACACTAAAATTTAAGGGAAAAAGAGTTCTTATTTGAATTTATTTGATAATGATATTTATTATTCATTATTGTGTTGTTTTAAATCATCACGCCAAGTTGTTAATGATTAAATGTTTACAAATTTAAGAATTTAAGAATTTGTAAGAATTAAATTTGTAAATATTTCATAGTTTATATTAATTTTATTTTGACTTTATCCTCAGATGTACATGCAGTTAATATATTGAAATCACTCAGAAAGAATAATGTTATCGATTTCTTTAAAGTATGTATAAATGAACAAAATACTTCTAATATTAAATTGTATTTAATATGTTGCATGTAGATAAATAATAAATATTTTGTAAAAACAAATCGATGAATTGATATAAATATTTTTGTCTTTTCGTTAATTTATTTTCAATAGTCATTTTCTGTGTATTTTGGAAATCTCTGATCATATTTATGCTTTAATCTATTAACAAAGATGTAAACTGAATCGACTGAATATATCATTAGATTTACGTGATTCTAGTCTATTTCATTAAAAATTCAAACTAATTAATAATCAAGTGAGTAAAGTAGTAGTGATTTGACAGTATAATGACATTTGACTTTGATTTGAAAGGTAAGTATACTACAACCTACTCTGTCCTGGGCTTCCCTTTCCAGTTCTGTCCGATTTCTGTTCATTCTTCTCATACTTTTCTCTATTTCTTGGCGCTATGTGTCCCTTGGCTTTCCTCTTTCCTTTTGACCTTGAGGGTTCCAAGGAAGGACTTGTCTTGTGACGCAGTTGGGTGCTTTTCGCAATGTGTGTCCTATCCACTTCCAGCGCTTCTTCCTGATTTCCTCCTCCAACGGTATCTGATTTATTCTTTCCCACAGTAGGTTGTTGCTGATGATTTCTGGCCAACGAATCCAAAGTATTCTGCGTAGACAACTGTTAAGGAATACTTGAATCTTCCGGATGTTGGCTTTAGTATTTCTCCAAGTTATTGCAGAACTATTTTGATAATTGTATTCAATTCAAGAGTAGCTTAAAATGCTCTACCCACCTTGAGCTTCAACCTGCTTTGTTTTAAACATTCATATACTACTACCAAATTAAATGTTAGTAGATTGTATATTTTAGGAACCTATAGATGATACACCTTTATATGTTATGATTAATTTAACGATTTTTATGCACTCAAACATAGTTGACCGAAAGTTCCTTCGTTATCCATTTTTGTAATTTAACTTTTAATATAGAAGTATATCGATCCATCGTCATGTACACGTAGAAAGTTATCAGTTCAAGTAATCGCTAGGGAGAAACATGTTTGTGATTCTAAATATGATAATCATGACAAGAAGGTCAGTACAGTGTTTAAGACTTTTCAGATTTTTAATTTATATCAAATATGGTAATTTGTTATCATTTTTTATGAACATAAACAACAATACACTTCCATTTGTTTGAATTTTAGCATGTGTTTCAATTATAATCAACAGAAAACCTGACCTAAATTTGATTGTGCTGAGATTTTCAAATCCCATTAACACAACCCGAATAAATCAATAGGATGTCAATCACACTTGAAATAAAAGCATCATTATTAATACAAAATTTAACGTGTTCGTAAAGAATAAATAAAGTCTTTGAGTAAAAACTATGAAACAGTATTATAATTAGAAATCTTAAGGTAAAGGAGGCTTTGATAGGTCTTCAGAAGCCAAGAACATGCTGTGTATACTCCAACCAGTTAACCTTGTTTAGAATATTTCAATAGGTTGTCATGAAACAACTGATCATGATTTTAGAATTCTAATCAGACTGTTTGTGACTTGTCAATTAACCCAAACCTATCTTTGGAATAAACTACTTTCTTCACTTTCCGTAGTTTGTTTTGTGTTTAAAGTACAATCGTAGTAGATATTTGAGGAGTGAGAATTGGAAAGGAAGTTGATAATTCATCGTTTGAGCATATGAAATATCAACAAGGTAGAGAATGAATTCATCTATGTGATTACAACTAATTTAGTGGATCATATATGGCGGGAATTAAAAACAATACAAAAGAATATTGGACTACCTAATTAGTAGTTGTTATCATTGTATAGGCAGGAAAATTGTCTCATTCAGGTGAAATAGCTAGTTATCTAGAACTGCCAATCTAGTAATTCATTAATTACAGCCTTTCATCCAAACTATCCAGTAATATCTTGTTCCTTCTAACTTCAATAACACATCCTATGTAGTTATTGTTAATAAAATCCATAACTGTGAACAGCTACACTTCACTTACCTAATATTACCGAATAAGTGTACTATTTTACTAGTTGGATCAGTTAGTTAACAAAACCTTCCACTGTATTCCGATTTAGTAGTTGAGAAACCAGCTGCACCTCGTTCGCTCTCTAGTACATAATTAAAGTTAGTGAGAAAGCTGCTCATTGTTGCTAAGTTTGAATCTTTTACCGGATTTCTCATGTAGTAGTAGAGACAATCCTTATAATAATCGATTGCTCTTAGCATTAATGTGAATACTAGCCTCTTCTCAATTCATAATTTACCACGTGTTGTTTACTTTTTGTATATTTATTGCATGATACATAAGTTAACGTGAATCCCTATTGACTTTTACTTTGGTTCAGGTAATTGTCTTAAACAATCATACTGAATTGAAACGTTATTGTTCGTTGAGTTCTGTAACGAAACCTTTCAGTATGCTCACATCCAAAGGATTCGTAATGTGATTTTAATCTGGTCCTCCGGATTGCATAATTAGGAATATTCAATATATGCGCCAATTGTTGTGATTGTCAATATATGTTATTTTTAGGTAACAAACGCGTTTGCTTCTTTAGTTTGTTTGTATTTTTCTCTTGTCGATACTTGACGTTCAGCACGTTGAGCAGATTTAAGTCTTATAAAAACTGGGAGAATATTAACTATATATATATATATTATTTTACTACTTTTGAGTGCAATTATTTACTTAACTGTTTTCTCCATACTTTTTCTTGTGGACTGATTAATGATTAGTTTCAAATATACTGATATCTTACTTTTGTAGAGACGGTGAAATTTTTCTTGGTGACTTTTAATTGAGAGACTAGTATTTACCCCCTCGTTTAATTAGTAAAAATTAAAAGCTCAAGTAGTTAGTTTCACCTTTTGTCGCATATATTAGAATATATGTGCAACAGGGTATACTATTATTTAAAGCATATAGACATTTCACCATTCAGCTGATTGAAACGGAAGATATAAGAAACGTAGGTTTAAGAAGAGTCCCTCTTCTGAGAAGTACAATTCTCAGGATCGCTTCAATCTCTTTTTAGATATAAGTGCGTACACTAGACTATCGTGCGTTTGATGACAACAATAAATTTTTGTGTAAGGGAACTGGCAAACGTGTATGGGTATCAATAAATGTGTCTGGAGTGTGCTAGGTAGTTAAAAGTAGTAGGTAAATCCAGTAGCCTACAAAACCGTTACCAACTCATCCGCATCAATGGCAACACAAATTCTGGTATGAATGGACTAAACGTTGAAGCTCATAGGAAATCTGTCAAAAGTGTCAAGTAACGTCCTCAATGATTGGCCACGAACTACGAGGAACAACTGAAATAGCCTGCTGTTCCAACGGGACTAATCAAACTGGCAAGTCTTTCGCTATTGGTGTTGACTAACCCTTCACACGTAGAGGGTGTTCACAGAAGGACTCTTATTTCTAAAATGAGGTAAGTCGCCAAATCAGATGACTTAAATTAAATGACTTAAAAATCAAAGAGATGTTGACGAATTTCTGGTTGGGTAATCGACCTAAATACCTGAAAAGTCCTGAAAACTAGGGAAACGTCTAGACCTTAAAATAAAACTAAAGTATTGCCTATCTGTGCAAAGACTTAACGTTGTCTAGGTAACAACCAGCAGCTGACAAACGTAAATTTTTGGAAAATCTGGCAGTGATATTACAAACAGCTATGAAAGAAGTAAACATGATACAGTGAAACATCTCACGTAAAAATATCGTCAATCAGAACAAAAAAGAAAAGCGAAGTAATCACTAACATTGAAGATCAAAGAAGCATGTGGACAGAGCGCTCTGAAGAACTATGGAATGGCCGCCACCATTCAACTAACCAGCATCGAGGTAGCATCCTCACTTCTCTTAATACCTGGGAAGTCTTCAACAGGTTGTTGATAGACCGAATGAAGGACTTCGTAGACGCCCAACTTCGAGATCAACAGGCTGTACTTCGTAAGGATTGATCAAGTGCTGACCAAATTGCAACATTACGGATAATTGCGTAACAATCAATTGAGTGGAACTCGCCACTCTTCATCAACCTCTCTGACTATGAGAAAGTATTTTATAGTAAGGACAGGACAACACTATGGAGGCTTCTTCGACATCACAGCGTGCCTGAGAAGATATTCAACATCATACGGAACTCTTATGATGGATTACACTGCAAAATCATGTATGGAGGACAGTTGACGGACTCTTTCGAAGTGAAGACCATTGTCAGGCAAGTTTACTTACTCTCACCCTTTCCCTTTTTCCCGGTGGTTGACTGGATTGCGAAGACTTCAACATTTGGAGAAAAGCACGGTATCCAGTGGACATCTCAGATGCAGCTGGACATCCAGAACTTCACAGATAATCTGGCTCTTCTATCACAAACTCAACAACAAATGCAAGAGAAGACGACTAGTGTAACAGCAACCTCAGCAGCAGTAGGTCCCAACGAACACACCGAGACAAGCAAGATTTTCCGATACAAAACAGCATACATTAACCAAATAACAACTGACAGAAAAGCTTTCAAAGATAGAGAAACCATTACATGTCTGGGCAACATCGTTGATGAGCGGGGTGGATCTAATGAAAATGTGAAGGCGCGGATTCGCAAATTAAAGACAGCACT